CAGGACGCCTGGGGCAGATCAGCTGGGGTGCCGGGTTCGTCCAGTAGCACTGGGGGCCCCCAGCAGACCAGGGAGACGCGGAGGACCCGGGCGGGGGCAGACCAGGCAGACCCGGGCCCCCAGCAGACCAGGGAGACGCGGAGGACCCGGGCGGGGGCAGACCAGGCAGACCCGGGCCCCCAGCAGACCAGGGAGACGCGGAGGACCCGGGCGGGGGCAGACCAGGCAGACCCGGGCCCCCAGCAGACCAGGGAGACGCGGAGGACCCGGGCGGGGGCAGACCAGGCAGACCCGGGCCCCCAGCAGACCAGGGAGACGCGGAGGACCCGGGCGGGGGCAGACCAGGCAGACCCGGGCCCCCAGCAGACCAGGGAGACGCGGAGGACCCGGGCGGGGGCAGACCAGGCAGACCCGGGCCCCCAGCAGACCAGGGAGACGCGGAGGACCCGGGCGGGGGCAGACCAGGCAGACCCGGGCCCCCAGCAGACCAGGGAGACGCGGAGGACCCGGGCGGGGGCAGACCAGGCAGACCCGGGCCCCCAGCAGACCAGGGAGACGCGGAGCAAAGCCGCGGAGGACCCGGGCGGCGGGACCGCACTGCGGTCCCTCCGTCCGTGTCCTGCGGGGCGAGGACTGCCTGTTTCGTAAGTACGCATCCAACGTAAGTGGGATCCGCGTAACCCGGGGACTGCCTGTGCTAATGAAATAAACATTAAGATCATTTAGCACCTGCATGTAACAATGGGGGGGGGGGGGGGAAAGCATGAACAAGCAAGCCATCTTTCCATATTAGTGAGGCAGATGAGTTCAAATCCTATTAACTCTGCCAGTGTCAATGAGGGTATGGTACCTGAATGGAAACAGCTGAATCACTTGAAGCTTCTTTTATATTCATCAATTAGATCCTTTTTCATAGAGTCCAGTGTGTGTTCTGTTGTAAAACAGAATACACTTGTTGGCATATAGTTGTTACATTCACAAACAACATTGCTGTAGAATTTCAAGAGGAAGAGCTATTGTGAGAGTCTGTGGAAGACAGACAAGTACAAAAAAAGACTGGCTTGCCTGAAGTAAATGTCTAAACCTTCATGTCGCTGCAGTAAGAAAAAAAGGTCATGGACAAATGTAAAGCTATACAGCCATAGAGATTTGAAGGCTATTTTCCCCCCTTAGATCTGTCAATGACAGCTATTTTCAAGTGTAAGCCAGGAGGGGGAAAAAAGTGAATATTCATTTTATTAAGATTTTTATTGGTGTTAATAATTTGAAAGCCTGCCTTTTCCTATTAGACTTGTTGATATGTATAGCTTTTCGAAGCAATAACATTCTGTACATGAGGTAAATGTGATCTCATAAATTATCACAACAAAAACAATATAAGTAGCTACTTTAATATTAGGAAATGTTAGGAATTTACTTATGGATTATATAATTCATTGCATTGAATACAAATGCCCTCAAACTGGAAAATGAAAAACTGCTATCTGCCATTGCTCTCAAGGTAAAATTGAAATAATTTGTCTTTGTGCAAAGCCTCCCCTCTTGTTCCCACATATGCACTCTGACGAAAAGATGCACATGATGTGCATGCACATGACAACTTTGTATGATGCTAATACTGTTTTATTTTCAAAGTAAATGTTAAATTTATCATCATTGTAACGTGCTCTTCAGAAAGTTATATGTGAAGGAAAGGAACAGAAAAGAGATCATTTGCATGTGCAGACTGCATTGGGAACAGAACAGTCAAATCAAACCCAGTGTAAAGAAGTAACTTGTGACAGATGCCTGCTTAGAAAGTAGATGCTGTCTACTGCTACGTAAGTGTTACTTATGTATGCCTAAATTGACTCTTCATTAGAGGGAAACAGACACAGCATTTCCATTTTTCAAGCCTATATGTCTAAAAGAACCTTAAAGTATTTTCTATATGATAGTAATATATTCATAGACATTGGCTTTTGTGTGGGTTTTTTTTTTTTTTTAAATCTAGAAGGTAATTTTCAATTTCTTTGCTGCTACCAATCCCCTACTTTGTAAAGTTATTCGGGGAAAAGTGTTGAATCACTGACCTCCATGTTATCATGTTAAACTCATCCCCTCTCCCTGGTTACTGATTCCTTGGTAATTATCAAATACACACCACAAGATTATGAAAATTAAGCCAAATTTAGTACCTTTACTAACACTAGTGACTATTGTTGAAGTAAAAAAGGGAAGGAATAAGATTTATGTATTTAATATATACATGTATACTCTTAAAACAAGTACTTTTTTATAAAAAAAAGTCAATGTCAATAAATACTGTGTGGTCTTTCTCTAAATCAGTGGTTCTCAACCAGGGGTACAGACAGGTTTTCCAATATGTACATCAGTTCATCTTGATATTTGCCTACATTTACAACAGGCTACGTAAAAAGAACTAGCCGTCAATACAAACTAAAATTTCATACAATGACTTTATACTGCACTACATGCTATACACTGAAATGTAAGTACAGTATTTATATTCCAATAGATTTTAATTTGTGTTTATATGGTAAAAGTGAATTGAGCATTTTTTCAGGTATAGTGTGCTGTGACACTTGTATTTTTATGTCTGATTTCGTAAGTGAAGTGAAACTTGGGGTGCACAAGACAGATCCAACACTTGAAGGTGGTGCAGTAGTCTGGAAAGGTCCTGCTCTAAATGAACAATAAATATGATCTTTAATTGGGAAATCAATTAGTCAACTTACTTTTCTTGATATTAGGGAGGAGTTGTGGAAAGGTGACCAAGTTCTAACCGCACAGTATACATCCACTATAGCCAAGAAGCACAACTTTTTGGCTTTCAGCCATGTTAACTGCAGTGGTGCACATCAGCCCAGTTTGATATGCCATGCTGTACTGAGCCTCATTAGTTATCTAAATAGAGAGCCCTGGATGTCAGGACTGCTGTTACTGAATTCCAGAGAGACCCAGTGGAATCATTCCTTTAATGTTACCAGCATGGAGCCAATGTTCCAAATCAATCACAGTGCCTGTCTCTAATTTTGTATGGTTTCCACAAAATATAGGACCTGCTCCTGCTCTCACTCAATCAATAATAATAATGACCCCTGTGTTCAGGATTTGACTTTTAACTTATGGTATTACATGTGATTACTCTGTTTTCCCTGCACTCACTGGCATTGGAGCAGTTTGTATAGTGGGGCTGCAGAATGCCATTGAACAAAACTGTAAATCTTCTGTCTGATGGAAACCGCTTTAAGACAAGGGGTGCCACTGCACCCCCGGTGCTTCTGATTTCAGTTCCTCTGCTGGCAATTCATCCTGCTGCCCTGTGGAAGCACAGGCCACTGCATAGTTTTTTCTGCCCATAGATTTAACATTAGAGAGCGTTTCAGTTGGGAGGCACGTGACCCACAATTTCTCAAGAAAAAACAGTTAACAAGCAGTATTTGAAATAGTTGTGACTGTTGTTGCTGATGAGATACAATCTTCAACTCCCATAACTAGTGATACCTACTAATTAGCGAACGAACAGGTAACCAGTTAAACAGCACTCTGTCCTGAGCAGCCCTGCCCATGGCACGCCACTGGCAGTGAACACTCTAGCCCAGCCAGGAGCTGGCAACCCTGCAGATCTGGCAGCTGAGTCTCCCAGTTAACCATGTAACTGGTAGAAATTTGATCATTTACACAGTTCATTTTTTTTAACATCCCTACTATTAATCTTCTCTAGGGGTACGTCTACACAGCAGGGCTTAACTCAATAAACTACACAAATTGAGCTACATCAATAGCTTATTTTGAAAGTGGGAGTGTCTACACAGTACTTACTTCGAAATAGAGCACTCTTTCTCTGACTTCCCTTGCTCCTCATACAGTGTGGATTACGGGGGTTGGAGTAAAAAGTCTTCCCCCTTGACAGTATTTCAACATTTCAAAATAACTGCCTGCTGTGTAGACACGAACTAAGTTTTTTCAAAATGCTGCTGCTGTGTAGACATACCCAAATCTACAGTGATATAGGGAACATGTGGTGCGGATCCAAAATGTTTGCCACGGTCTTGAGAGCCAGATTCTCACAGTGGACAGTTCTTATCCCTGCATCTTTTAGCTGTTGATTTCTCCCTGACTCTCCAACTTCCCCTTTGGGTGATGACTATGGATATTTCCTGCCATTAAGGCATCTTACATAACTTTACAAAGGTGACTGAGAATGTTTAGCAAAGCTATACCCATGACCTCTGTCTCCTGCAAGGGAGTATCCTGCCTTGCTCTGGTAAAACTGTAGAGACAGATTCCTTGAAACAAAAGCAAGAAATTATGGGTACGTCTAGACTACATGCCTCTGGCGACAGAGGCATGTAGATTAGGCTACCGGACATAGTAAAATGAAGCGGCGATTTAAATAATCGCCGCTTCATTTAAATTTACAAATAAAGCGGCGATTTAAATAATCACCGCTTCATTTAAATTTACAGCTGATCAGCTGTTTGTCGGCTCAGCGCGGCAGCCATGTAAATTTAAATGAAGCGGCGATTATTTAAATCGCCTCTTCATTTTACTATGTCCGGTAGCCTAATCTACATGCCTCTGTCGCCAGAGGCATGTAGTCTAGACGTACCCTATGTGTCCACCCTACTTTGTCTTCCCTTCCCCAACTAAATCGGGCAGGAAATGCATGTGGGTTAGTGTTCCACTTCCAAAGTGACTGAATAACCATTTATAGATGAATCATAGAGAAAAGATAAATTATTTTAGCCCAATTCACTTCTTAAACAAAACTAATTTAGTAACTAATAAATCAGAAAAGACAGCTGTTTCAGCATGAAAAGTGTACCCATTTTTCAGAGAGCTTCCATAAAATCCCAGTGTAGTAGGTATTCTTACCATAGCCGCTTTATTAAAAAGCGAGCATGGATTGGTTGGTTTATGATACAGGGAAAATGAGTTTATTTCTTTCCATGACTGTTGTGGATTCAGCATTAGGGACAGAACTGGAACATAATCCTGGGAAACACTCCCACTCCTTCTGCCACATACTCACGACTGACTCCACCCTCTGCACTTAACAGATCCTGCTGACATCCATGCCTCTGTCATTGCTATGGGAAGTGAAGAAACAATTCTGTGTTGTATAGGCATTGCTGCTGAAGTCCTTCTGTGTCACCACAATGTGATGTTCAAAGTTGTTATGTTTCAGTTTGAGTGCAGAGCAAATGAGTAAGGTGGAGGGTTATGCATAGTCCTCCACACTGAAAGGTAATAAGTCTCAGCCCTCCAGCATCCCCTTATTTTCATCCACAAATAAGGATGAAATAGGAATAAGGAGAAGTATGTCTGAGGGGAGTGGTTTGTGTGAACTTTACTATGGGGCACTGATTATTATCAATAGATGTAATATTGGGGTATTGCCTAGCTGCTCCTGGGATCAGGGCCTTCTTGAGCTGGACGCTGTCTGCAACATAGATATGCAGTCCCTGCTCCCTAGCTATGTGTTTCCCTCCTAGACCTGGGAGGTCCAATCCATATCTGGAAGCTAGTTTCAACCTTACATATATAATCTCATGCCTGGTATGTGGGGGTATGTCTACACTACCACCCTAGTTCGAACTAGGATGGTTAATGTAGGCAACCGAAGTTGCAAATGAAGCCCAGGATTTAAATATCCCGAGCTTCATTTGCATCTTGCCGGGCGCCGCCATTTTTAAAGCCCCGGTAGTTCGGACTCTGTGCCCGCGGCTACACGCGGCATGGAGTAGGTAGTTCAAATTAGGCTTTCTAACTCATGGAGCGAGGAGTAACGGTAGTTCGAATTAGAAAGCATAATTCGAACTACCTACTCCGTGCCGCGTGTAGCCGCGGGCACGGAGTCCGAACTACCGGGGCTTTAAAAATGGCGGCGCCCGGCAAGATGCAAATGAAGCTCGGGATATTTAAATCCTGGGCTTCATTTGCAACTTCGGTTGCCTACATTAATCACCCTAGTTCGAACTAGGGTGGTAGTGTAGACATACCTTGGTGTATTTCCTTTCTTCATGGTGCTTTGCAGTAATTTGAGTTTTTCTGTATTGAAGTTCTAAGAAATCATTAAACAGAAGATCCTAATATTACTAAGCTAATATTTTAGATATGGGTTGCCTTAATTTTTCTCTGTATAAATTGATTTTAGAAATCAGCCTTAACTATTTTTGCAGTTGTTGATTGGCACTTTGGAGAGTTGATTTCACCAGGTATTCCTGTATAAGGCAGTTGGATGTTTTTTACAGTAATACAAAATTTCAGTGAAGCAGCCAATATGTAAACAGAGGATCATGGTTCAAGTTTATGTAATTGCATCAGAAATGTAACCAGAACTTCATAACCATATGCCCCTGATCGGAAAGCTTATATCCGTGCGTGGTTGCCAAGGCCCCTCTCAGCTATACATACTTGAGAGGAAAGAAGAAATTAATGTTAACTGTTCTGGTTTTTATCGTCCTATCAATGGTCAATTACACTGCTAACGATGAAGGTTTTCTAAGGCGGTCTACACTGCGGGTGTTTTGTGGAAGAGGAAATGCAAATGGAGCGCTCATTTGCATATATTCTTCCTATCGTTTTTGCGGAAGAGGTTTTTGCGATAAAAAGCCCTGTGTAGACAGGTCCATTTGTCAGAGGGAAAACACCCTTTTGCGCAAGAGCCTGTAAACAGGCTCTTGTGCAAAAGATTTTTTTTCTGACAAATGGCCCCATCTACACAGGCTTTTTATTGCAAAAAGGACTGGAAGATATGCAAATGAGAGTATGAGATGCAAATGAGTGCTCTATTTATTTGCATTTCCATTTCTACAAAATACCCGCATTGTAGACGTAGCCTGAGAGTCTAATTCTTTTAAAGGGAAGGAATGCAGGAATTTTGACTATTTTTATTTTTCTTCCTTTTGTTTTTCTACTTCATGTCACTAGCTGTGGTTGCCTGTATCAGCAAATATGTAGCCATTCCCCCTTTATCTTCAGTTTTGATTAGAGCAAGCAACTTTTTGGTATACTTTTAAAATTAAAAGCTGCTTGATTAAAAGCTTTTTCTTTTATTTTTGGTTTGAATCTAAAAGAATTGTTCTAGTGAGGCACAAGATCCAAGGATGTTTCGTTTTCATCTTACAATGAAAATTAAACCTTTTTTCTTTACTCCTCCCCTCCCCCCCCAAAAAAAAACCCCAGGAATATATGTAACAAGAACTACCGGAGCGAGTTAAAATATGAAAATATTATCAAATATCTTTGTGTCTTAGCAACCAATACAAATATCTGGAGAGTAGGAGACTAAAAGAAATAAGAAATATGCAAACTAAATGTGAATATAATGTGATTCCTACAGTTTTTGCTGCAATCTGTGATCTGGAATAATTCTGCATATGAAATAGATTGTGCTCCAGAATCCCTAATGTTACCCCCAGAAAATGGGGGCTTTATCCCAATCAGCAAATAGATACAAGAAATAAAAATACCATTTTCAACAACCTTCTCCTTCAAAGGGGATTTTACTACAGGGTACTGGCTGAGCAGTTGATTTCTGTCTCTCAGCTAACTGCTTTGTTGCACTGAATAAATAATGTACAGCTTAAAGCTGCTTAGCCACAAGTAACTACTACAGTAATGTGGAAATAAATACTGCCGTTTTGTAGAATTCAGCTCCCCCTACTTGTTTACTTTTTCACATAATAAAATACAGTTAGGCTGTGCAAATAAAAATGCAGTTCAGCGTGCTTAAAATAATGGATTCTAAACCAACTTAATACAAGTTCTTTATATTCCACTACTGCTTAAATAGGCTTGTCTCTGCAATGCAATAGTCTGCACTAGAGGGGTATAAATTCTAGTAAGCACTGCCTGTGTGGACACTGCTGGTGGACGTTAAAAGTTCCCAAAGTGCATTAATGTGTTTCCCAGGACTACGTTATTGTATACTTTTAGTTTGTGCTAGCAGGGTCCATGCAGATCAGGTAATGCTCACCATGCTATCATGTACTGGAGTTTACGCCCTTCTAGTGCAGTCTATTGCAACATGGAGACAAGCCCAGAGTGTGTGCTATAAAGGCTTCACTTGATTCATATGCTATAATTAAAGATGACTTCTTAGGAGACTTGACATTGTGGAATCACCTCATAAGCATAGATCACTGGAGGCAAGGTTTTTAAAAAAAAAATACATCTATAACTCGACTTCTTGCTAGGAGTCCTTTTAGGTTCTGTTCAGATGGGCAAACTGTGAGGTGGTATTTTGTGATGGAATGAGCAGCAGCAAGTGAAAGTGAGTAGGCATCTTATAAAATTTAAAACAGATTATTCTACCGTAGTATGTAACAGAGTATCAGTCGCTTCAAGATTTCTGTTGAATGTGTTGGCAAGAGACCAATTAAGGAGACAGTGTGACGAAGGCAGCATATCTTAGGACTTCTGTTTCATTTAGCACTGCAACTGGCGGGAGTGGTGATGGGCAGAACTCGGCAAGAATGGGAGGGCTTGCCAAATTTGTAATTATTGCTTTCTGAGAAGCCAGTAAAGTCTCCTGATACAGTAAAGCTCGAATTGTCTGGCATGCAGTGGTCCTGCACTCCCAATAGTCCGGCACCAACTGGAACTCGGAAGTGCTCCGGCCAGCCGGAGAATTGGAGCTCCTCTGCGCCGCTTCCCCAAGTCCGGTGGTGGACTTGGGGAAGCTGCAGAGCAGCTGGGGTTCTGCAAGGGTGCTGAGCAGGGGGGTGAGGGGCGGCGCTGCGGAACCAACCCGGCAGCACCCCAGCTGCTCTGCAGCTTCCCCAAATCCGCCGCTCATTAGTTTCAGCAGCGGCAGATGCTTCCGGGTTGGTCCCTCAGTGCTGCCCCTCGCCCTCCTGCTTGGGGATAACTACTGCAGTCTGGGGGGTGGGGAGCCTGCAGCTCCCCTCCCCTCCTGGAAACTCTCGGCGGGGGCACAGGGCTTCCCCCGCCTTCCTGCAAAACAGCGGAGGGTTCGCCCCTCGCCATGCCGTTCCCTGCCCAGCCCCCGGACACAGTGCAGGTCCCGGCAGACCCATCACAACCTCCCCGCCAGAGTACCTCCCGATACTCCGGCATAGCCAATAATCTGGCACCACCTAGGTCTCAAAGGTGCTGGATTATCAGAAGTCTACTGTATTTAGGGCTGTAATTCTGGAGTGCACTGCTGCTTCACTTGCCCCCAGCTGGGGGAATGGCAGCTCAGGAAACTGCTCACCTGGAGACTTTCCCTGTTGCTCCTGTTAACCAGAATCCAGGTCAGATGCCCTCAGCCCGTTCTTGCACCCAATTCCTGACTAGATCTGAAACTCCTCCCCCTCCTCGCTTCTCCCCCTCCCCCCGGCATTCCCAACCTGCTTCTACACCCTACCTCCCATGCAGACCCTGCACCTCTACCCTGTTCTGCACCCATTTTGTCATCTTGGGGGCTGGCTGATGGTCTGCCAAAGGTTTGGGTTAAGCAGAGTGGTCTGTGGGCCAAAAAGTTTGACCACTGTCCTAGAACATACTTGATATATCATTGTTCGTGTGTGTTTTGGATGAATTTGTGTGTCCTTGCTCTAGTGGGTTTTTTGTTAAATGGTTGGATTTGAACTCTTTTTTTAATTTTTAAAGAACTCTGGAAAAAAAATATTTTTTGTTCTTTTTCTATATGAATTTTTGTCCTATGTCAGTTTCTACCACAAGTATGCAAATATTATTGCAGCCATTACATGTTCATAGTTTATGTATTTTCCAGAACAGCAATATTTATAGATTAGATTCATCCCTGATGTAAGCGGTTACAACTCCTTGAAATAAATAGGGTTGCATGTGCTTTATATTACCTGTGAATTTAGCTGGGAAAGTATTGCATTGTACCACAAAAAAAGGGATAATGGTTATATCCATAACAATTTACTTTTTTGCCACTTCTGATTGTTCTGGCCCTAATGAATCATTTGTTTTCACAGAGTTACTGGAGGTGAACTGTTTGAAGATATAGTTGCAAGGGAATACTACAGTGAAGCAGATGCTAGGTAAGTGCTTGATTTCTAGAATGTTAACTGTTTTGTCACATTTTAACAATTACCTTTAATTATACTAGTATGTTTACTTGTTTTCATATTTACTTATGGTTTTTGGCATCAGAACAGAGCAATTCACTCTTCATTTATAATTCCCATTAAGGCTCTATTAGATTTGAAAGATGGCTATGGTCTACTGACTTAAGCTCAGTTTGGGTCATGGTAAATTTCCCACTTACTTCAATAGAGCCATGATGTCACCTCTGGTTTCATAATCTGATTGTGGCATCCACCATATCTTTAGTGAAGACACTTTCTTCCTCAGTTTTCCCATCTGTAGAATGGAAATAAAACTTTAATGTGACAATGCTGCTAACACACATCGATTTTTGAAAATACTACATATTAAATTAGTGTTCTAAATCCAAAAGACTTTTCCTTCTTTTGAGATGCCTGTTTTTATTACCAAGCAATAGTAGCTACTGCATATCTCATAGTCAGTGCTCACACTATGGAGTTGCAGTATTGTAACTACTTATTGGGGGGGAAAAAAGCTGAAATGTAACATGATTCTTTAGAGGTAGTGGTGTCCAGAGATACTGTATCCTTTTTTTCCAATTCAATGTTCTGCTGGACTCATAACATTTCTAAATCTGCAAACACTCTGGTCCACTAGGTTCCCAAATTCACCTTTTTCATATTGGTTCCATTGCCAAACTATGTGGGAAATCTCCTTTTCAAATAAATTTAACTAGATATTTTGCTTCTGTATATTTATAATACCCAAATCACAATAGTATAGCGATGCCACATAGTAATATAGTGGTAAGAGTTGTTCTTTTAGACCACCGTCATTGGATTTAAAATACATTTTGGGGATTGTCTTAAATAACAGTTCAAACATTCTGTCCTTTCAGTTTCATTTAGCAGACAGAGAAAATATTAGCAGTGTCTTAAGTGTGTATAACAAGTAGTAACCAGATGATTCAAAGGAAAATCTGGACTGGATGTTAAGAAACTTCCTGAAACTGAAATTGATTAGAATGAAAAATAATCTCCAAAGGAAAGTAGTGGAAATCTGTTCACTTGAGACATTTAAAACTAAGCTGAACAAAACAGACTGCAGGGGAGAAAACTGGATTAGTAGTTGTGGAGGGCTGACTGAATAATTTTTGTATACTCTAATTCCCTTAGTTCTCTGGAAACAGTTACCTTTTCTAATGTTGATGCCAAATCCCACAAAGTAGTTATGCTGTGTTTTTAAAGAAAAAAAAACGGAGGTGATTATTCTGTTTTACAAGTTATTACATGATGCAAAGGATGCATACATATATGTATTGTATTAAAAAGTGCAGTGTTTAGGCATGTTATGCATCTGTGTATGTGTGTGCGTGTGTCCTTAGAAATAGCTAATGATCTTTATAGATGCATGATCTACCATAAAAAATAGGTCTTGTTCCTGCAAACCCTTACCTAAGTAGTCCTTATTTGTGCAAGCTGTTTAATGTCAATACGACTACTTAAATGAGTTAGCGACTACTCACCTAAGAAAGGGTTTTCAGAACTGGGCTTTACTTGCTGATTTATGACTATCCCTACCTACTGAATTTCATGGCAAAAAAACATTTAAAATAATCAGCATCAAATCCATGGCTCTTTGGCAAGTACAGTATGTATAGGCCCAGACTACTGAAACAAATAGAATTAAAAACTAGATCTTTTCATTGGCTCTAACTGTGATAAAATGTCTGAAAATCATTCCATTGTATAGGAGACCAGTTTGGGAGGAAGGTGCATTTGAAGGGAATGGAGGTCATTGGCACTGTACATGGGCCAAAAATTAAAATTCCATGTACAACTCCATGCTGCTAATTCCATATGTGAAGCATCTAAATAAAAGTGGTCTAATTTTTCCTGCAGTAACTTTTTCAGTGAGAATTATGGGTTCACTTATTAATTAGGAACCTATATTCATACACTGATTTTTGAAAATTTTGGTTCATGGCATTTAATGCTGATTTTCATTTTACATGTGGCTACTAACCAAACCATTGCTGTTACTGCTGTTTTAAATGAAAATGTATACCTCCTTATTGAATGATTTACATTTATTTACAATTAATACTTTCTACAAGAAACTGTTACATTCAAAATGATAAATGTTTTGCTTTTCCTTGTTCATTTTTTAAAACTCTTTACTTTTTTTTCTTCTGTATCTTTTAATTTTTGTTCATCTTATTTCAACGCTGGTGTTTTAATATTGATGTCAGACTATAAATTTTACATCAGAAACAACTAAGGATTTCACTGCCTTCCCAATTTTTTTCTGTTTTTATACATACTTATATACTTTAAATATATATACTTTAAATAAAAACCTCCATGCTGCCTGTTGAAAACACTACACAAATCGTTCTGTTTGGTGATATCACACTTTAGATGTTAAATGTCTTTTTTGTTTGTTTTGTTTTGGTTTTGATCTGGAAATATTTTTATATTCAATATTATTTTGTTCCAGTTCTATGTGCAATTAAGATTTGTCAGGAAATGTAAATCTGTTTTTGTTCCTTATACATTTTTTAAATTTTATTTTGTATTTAATGTGATTATGTGCCTTTAAAATGTTTTCCCTTCCATTCTGCCCTTGTATCTTTGCAGTCATTGTATACAGCAGATTCTAGAAAGTGTTAATCATTGTCACCTAAATGGCATAGTTCACAGAGACCTGAAGGTCAGTATCTGGTGCCCATAAATTGGATAAGAATTTTTTTTTTTACTTTGAAAGGGCAGAGGGTGGGTTTGCTGAGATGAGATGTTCCCTTGCTTATCCTTCTCACCCTCAAAATGACTAAATGAATAAATAGTGCATGACGCCTCTTTCCAGTTTGCAAGTCTACAGGCCTGACATACATCATGGCAAAAGGGGAAATAGTTGCTTTAAGATTGAAATTTGGAACCTTCCAAGGTGTTGGATTTATCCCAACTACTTGCACATAGTTGGTGTGATACATATATTTTGGAAGGGATTTCATTAATTATTCTGTATTCTTCTGAAGTTGCACTTTGGCTGTGATGTATGTCAGCCTGCAGATTTAAACACCACTTCTGTTCTGAGACCATGGGTTGCAGTAGCAGAACAACTGGTTGCACATTGCTCCATTAGAGTATGACGAACCCTCAGGCAAGAGATGATGATTTCCAACTAAATTAAAGCATGAGAAGTTAATAATTTATCTAAAATGCATTGCTTATAGTAATTTTACATTAAGGGCTGCTATGATTTCTAATGCAACAGAGAGCTCTAAGGAAGTAAGGGAGGAAAAGGAACAAATAACACTAAATATTTAACTGATGATGTTATAAACACATTTCAAGTATCAGTACTTTGTTGCATATTTTAAATATAGTAATCTCCAAAATAGCATATCGCTGTTAACAGGACTTCTGCATTAAACCAAGTGGAGTCCACATTGACCTTCCTTCTTCCAAACTCCCTGTACAGATCAAAATGGGTTAAAATAAGGTAAAGCCTTCACATTGCAAAATCCTGGTATTTCTGAGATAGTAGCTGCTCTTTGTGAGTGATGTGTGTACATTTCTGAAGGTTGTGTAAAAACATCTTCAGTTGTTTGCTAGTTTTGCACTTTAACCCAGTCTCGCTGAGGGTATACAGACAGTGAGTGTAAGCTTGGAACTAACACACGCCCCCTGGTGTTTGCATGCAGTCATTGCATTCAGCAGATCCTGGAGGCTGTGCTACACTGTCATCAGATGGGCGTAGTCCATCGGGACTTGAAGGTGAGTAATACTGTTGGAGCAGCTCTCACACCACACAGCTCCTAATTACTGATCAGCTGCAGATGTGCATGTGAAGGCAAAAGAAATGAGCATGTCTTTTTGCATAAACTTGCTTGTAGACTTTACCAAACTGGAGTATCTAATCTAATTGAACAGATTGTGGCTGTTTAATAGAAGTTCAATTTAGAAAACTAATTTCAATTGTTAAATTTGTATGGTGAAATTGTAAATATTTTCCTTTCCCTCCTCAGTGGCAAAAATAGGAGTGAACCTATAAAATCCTTTCAACCTGCTCAGGGATTGTCATTGTCCATACACTTGCTCGTGACAGACAAGAAAGGGGGAAAGATGGGGTTTTTTATTTTTTTTTTTTTCAAAAAAATTTTTTTAATTTGAGCATGTCATGTAATAACCTAAACAGTATGTCACTCTGTCAGCCTGCAGCTTGAGGGTGGTATGGGGCAGCAGAACTAACATGACCACGACTTTCAAACCATTTTTAGAAAGAGCTACCGGAGAAGCTTGTTAATACATGTAAGCCATATGTCCTAGTAGTGAATGGCCATCCTGAAATTGGTGCTACCCAGGTCTAGCCTAGTCTACTTCATGTTGTAGTTGATGACTGTGCTACAGGCCACCTTTGTTTAAAGCCGTGTTTGCTACAGTTTTCTGTCCAGAATGTTCTTAAAGGGTAGATTTCTTCCCAGAGTGGTTTTTGTATTTAGAATAGAATTTTGGGGAAGAAGTTCCCTTTGCTAAAAGGAATATTACTCCATCTTAATCACTTAGGGTGCATCTACATAGTACCCTAAACTCGAAATAAGATACGCAATTTGTGCTGTGCCAATTGCATATCTTATTTTGAATTACCTTATTTTGAAATTGGTTGTGTCTATGCCAAATTTCGAAATAGGATGGCTCAAAGTAGCACATTTTCTCGCGCAACGAGGTTTACTGGGATGGTGAAATAGCACATCCATTATTTCGAAAAATCACGGGGTAGCTATTTTGGGATACCTCCAGTATCTTGAAATAGTCGTGCAGTATAGACGTACCCTTAGATTTCTAAGGGTACGTCTAGAGTACAGGCTTTTGTCAACAGAGGCTTTGTCAACAAATACTGTCGACAAAGCTTCTGTCAACAAAGAGCATCTAGACTACATCCAGTTCTGTCAACAAAGCAAGCCACTTTGTCAACATGAGTGTAGATGCAAAGGACTGTGTAGATGCAATAACTCCTTCTGTCAACAGAACTCTGTCGACAAAAGGCGTTATTCCTCGTAGAATGAGGTTTACTGCCATCGACAAACTGCTGAGTTCTGTCGACGTTATGTCGACAGAACTCGGCAGTAGTGTAGACACAGGTATAGTTTTGTTGACAAAAGTTCACTTTTGTCGACAAAACCCTGTAGTCAAGACACACCCTTGATGACTGGAGATAGTTGAAACATCAAATACCTCTCACAATTGATACAAGTTGGAGATGGAACTAAAGAGTTGATGTGTTCTTTCCCCTTCCTACTCGTAGACAGCACATAGGGCAGTGGTCCCCAATGCGGTGCCCGTGGGCACCATGGTGCCCACTGGGGCATTTATGTGTGCCCACTGAAACATCTGGGCTGCCTTCCCCCCGGCGTGCAGCACATGCGTGATGCCGGCCCTGGCTGTGTGGCGCGTGGGCAGCCCCTGCCCATGGCGCATGGCACATGTGTGGTGCTGGCCCTGGGCTGTGGGCGCCCTCTACCCCTGGCATGTGGCACATGCGCAGTGCCAGCCCCGGGTTCAGGGCGCATGGGTGACCCCCACCCTTGGAAGTGTGGCACGTGAGCGGCCCCGCCCCCAGATGCCTGGCACGTGTGTGGCCCCGCCCCTGGGTGCCCAGCAGCCACAAAAGGTTGGGGACCACTGACATAGGGTATGTCTACACTCCAGTTAAATGGCTGGTTTGTGCCAGCTTATTTGGGTTCGTGGGGCTAGAGCTAATGCAGTGTAGATGCTTGGGCTGGAGCCCAGATTCTAGGAACCTGCATAGTGGCATGGTCCCAGAGCTCAGGCTGTCAGCAGAGACAAAATGTCTACACTGCAGGTAAATAGCCATGTGAGTTAACTTGCTTAGGTTAGCCACCAGTGTCTAATTGCAGTGATGTTATACCCATGGAGACAAGCTAAATAGCCTATACAAACACAGTTATTGACGTCTCATTCTTCATACAAAAGAAGAGAAGAACTAAACTCAGACAGTGCTCAGTCTCCAAGATTCCAGGTGTAGTTAGTCTGTTTTTATAGAAGGCTAGTAGAAACTATCTGACAAATGGGTCTCCCTTAAAAAGCAGCATCTTTATAGTACAAAGCAGTTGTAGGTCTCACCCCATCCTTTGTTTGAGCATGCTCACTCTGTGTCTGTTTCCTCCCATACTGCCAACTTCCTTCCCCTTTGGTCGAGAAATTTTTTTATAGAGAGGTGGAATTTCCTTTCCAGATTGGGGTTGTCTATCATTGATGGTAGAGCCATAATCTGAATGTTGTCTCCTCTCTCCTCATCTCTCACCATTAGGAAAGAGCTGTATAGTTACTTTATAGATTTCTTCATTATGCTAGGTAAATCTGAATAGTTATAATGCAGGAAAAACAGGAATCAGAAAAAGTAAAGGACATGATGAATTTCAAAAGCATAGACCTATTTGCTTTTATGGAACTCCTGTATTTCATATTTTGGATAGTATTACAATAACAAGTCTCTGTCCAGGCTTCAAATCCTGGTTAGCAGCTGAATAACACGTTTCAGCACGTGTTAAATTAAATTTGACCAGCTGTTCTAAAGATGTCTGTTCCCACAGTGTATACGCTTCAGTGCATGGTTAAAGAAACTGGAGTGCCGCTATATACATTGAAAGGATAAGGAATGGTTGGTAATACCATTCATGAGTTCATATGAAGTGACATTTTCTTCAGAGGTGCATGACAAAAGAATGGTTGTTTATGTAACCCAACTGCCGACTATACCCCAGTCTATTTGTGTGTTGGGTGGGGGAGTTATTTGGGCAAATCCTGGAAGTGGCAGAGAGACTTTGTGCCTATTGCACTTTAGTTCTTAATTTTAATATAAATTTGTTTTCTAAACAAAAACTTGAGGAAACTGAAAAATCAGCCCTCTTCCACCCCCTGTGGGTGTGACTCGGTGAAGGGAATACATTACAGGGCCATATAGTGTTTTCCACAATTCTTTCCACCCAATGATCTGGCAAAACTCCAACTCCAGAGACAGTATGTGGAACTGGAGCTGCAGGAGATCAGACCTCTGGTGTTGGGGAGAAGGAAGATCTTGGTATTGTATGAGTTAGGAGGTAACTTTTCCTCAAACCCTATCCTGACAGCATGTTTGAAGTGTCCTTTCCTATTTGATGTGAGGGGGGTGATCTGGCTTAATTTTGGGGAAATATCCTGTGTTTCTAGGGTTTTTTTAATGCAGTTTAGCAGCTAGAAGTGGTGATCTGGCACTATGACCACCAGGAAGTGGTGAAATTCCATACACTATCAGTTCACAAACAGAAGTCCTAATTCAAACACATACCATTTCACAATGTGATCCCATTTGAAATAGGCTGTAAGTCTTTCCTCCCCCCTCTTTTTATATAATTAAATATACATTCCAAAATGTTTTGGAAGCCCTAGTATATTAATGAGTCTAGAACCCAGTCCAGAAAAAAGTGCTTTCATGGGATTTTTTAAATTGTTCATAGAAATACTTATTAGAGGCTGCCTTCTTTCACATCATTGACAACACTCTTGCATGTAGGAATTTCAAGATCTAAGTTATATTGATGCTAATAGCCAGCACCAATGTTTCTCTTGAGAAACTAAGATGATGAATAACCCCCACAGACTCCCATTGTGTGTTGGGGGGATAGGGGGGGGCGGAGAGGAGGAAATCAAGATCATGCTCCAATCTCTAAATATATTAAAATCTACACACAACCTTTCTGAATAAAGACCTTTCCACACACCAGCCATAAGCTCAGCTCAGTTAAAACAATTACTTGTAAATAAATGAATAATCCTGCTTTTCTGCATGCATTACTGCAGCCAGATTTTCTTAGTGCAAGGTGCAACTATTAGTTAGCAATTTGTTAGTTTCATGGGTGATGCACAGTATTGTGCTGGAAAAGCTCTGTTTCTCTCCAGTTATGCATAGATGTCTTAGTCATTTGAAGTTCATGCATGCAAAATATCTAGTGTGTTTCTTGTTGTTATCCTAAACTGGTGGCTGTGTGTTCTTTAAGGGCACAGTCCTGCACTGCCTGGAAGACTGTTGAACTTGTCAGAGGAATAAATGTGCTTCTGGCTTATTATCTTATGACCGTGATGTTTGTTTACAGTACTCTATTCCTATTTAATAGGGTGACAGTAGATTTTTAATTATATAAAAAGAGGGCGGAGGAAAGGCTTGCAGCCTATTTCAAATGGGATCACATTGTGAAATGGTATGTGTTTGAATTAGGACTTCTGTTTGTGAACAGATAGTGTATGGAATTTCACTGTGTTGGATTGTTAAAGATCACCACAAATAGGATAATCAATTACTTAAAATTTGTTACATAAGCAATGCATTCCAGGAATTTACAACTGAAAACCTCTCTGTCTGATTGAAAACCTCTAAGAATGTATTAGACCAGTGTTTTTAAAACTTTTTAAGACCAAGGAAGACCAAACAGTAATTTTGGGGGGGAACACAAAGGATTTTTTGTGAAGGAGGTGGGAGGTCAGAGAGAGAAAGTGTCAGGGGGAAAGTTATTGAGCAAATTAACAAGGTCTCCTGCCCCTTTAAGGGTGGCCATTTTGAATTCTGTTCTCTGCAGCACACCTCCAGCTGCCTGGCAGCACACCAGTGTGCCGTGGAACACAGTTTAATAAACACTGTATTAGACTGTACACTGAAATAGGTAGTGGAAAATGACATTGTGACATTGTTTTTATTAATATTTATAAAACATCAAAGTTAAACACTCCAAAATATTTTAAATTTTGGGGGCACTGATTTAAGTAGATGGAAATAATTCATGTGAAAAATAGATTAAATTTTACTCTGGGAAACCTTAATCTTTCTTTTAAATAAATATGATCAATTGTGTATTGATTTAATCTCGTATGTGTCACGGTTTTTAATGTAATAATTGATATGATCTAGCAGATGTGGAGTGAACAATTACATTGACTGGCTCATATCTCTTTTGCAAGCTTAGTGTTTCCATAACAAATATTGGGGGGGATGGGGGGGAACAAACCTGCCACAAAACTACAGCTATGTTATAGTTTTGGTTATTACTACTCCAATTTTCACATCATCCCTTTTTTTCAGTGCTCTAAAACAGTTGGGGGTAAATGGCATTTAACAAAAAGATGATTCTTTGCTAGGTTTTTGATTAATAAAAGTTTTATGTAACAGGGAAAAAAATAAACTTCTGAATAAGAATTTAGAGGAACCTGTTAAGAAGCCATTATTATTTATTAGCAGCAGCAGCATTTCAGTGCTTTAAAGGCCCTTTCCACGTTAGAGTCCCTTTGTGCTAAGCACTATACAAACATATGCTAAAAGACAGCCTCTAACACAAAAAGCCTACAGTCTTGGGCCCGCCTCGTTCTTACAAACATGTACACAATTAATTTTAAGCATGTGTATAGTGCCACTGAAATCAATGTAGTTGCTCTCATGCTTAAAATCATGACTTTTACTGTTACTACTATATGATACAAAGCACGTTTATAATGTTGCTGCAGACAATATGCTGATCTACAAAATCTCTTCATGCAGATCAGACCCAAACCTATATTCTTTCAGCATTTTTGCAGGTAAATTGTGATTGCCAGCTGTTACACATTGTCACAAAAGCTGGTGCCAAACACTAATTTGATCACGTAGGTCGCCATAATCTCTCCAGTAGATCTATACATCTCCTTTAGTCTTGCTGACATGCAGGATTGGGGAAGCAATTTGCAAGCCAAAAGGTCTTTCAGAATGCATAAATTTCTGTAATATTCGGGGGAAATTAATCTTTTTTCTTCACTCTATAAGATAGGTACGACTGAAGAGTACAAAACTACCATTGACTACTATACTGGAAAATGTAAATGTTAAAAAAATTACTTACAGTGTGTTTTCATCTCATTTCCTCTTTCCTCCTTTCCCCTCTCCCTTTTGTTCTCTTTCTCCCTCTCTCTAAATAAAGCCTGAGAACTTACTTTTAGCTAGCAAATCCAAGGGAGCAGCTGTAAAATTGGCAGACTTTGGATTGGCTATAGAAGTCCAAGGAGAACAACAGGCTTGGTTTGGTAAGTAAATCTTTTTTTTTTTTTTAAATAATCTCACATATTTGTTCATCCTCCCAACCCTTCCTGTTTCCACCCTAATAATAATAAATGGTAATAGACAATCATACATAGTAGTGTTGACTATGTAGTGGTTGGCTATTTTGATTGTAATTCACTTTGTACCTTTTACTTCACGTTGCGGTTTTTCCTGAACAGTTTTGAGTACTCTGAATTCTTACAACCTCAGCCGAGTCTTGGAGCTCAGCATTTTGCTAAAATCTTGGCAGATAATATTGTTAAACGCATTTATATGATAGAGGAGCGTAAGTCCTTTCTGTGAGTCACAAGTTATATTGGAGGGTGGAATCTAATGCATCCATTATGCCTTCCAAAAGAGTAAACTTTTCTTTCTTTGTCTCCTAAACACTGTCCCCCTCCCCCTGCTTACGAAGGAAGAAACACAAAAAGTCATGCTGCACCAGAAGGTCTAGCAGAGCTTTTTACGAACCTTCTGAGATGGTAGGGATAGTAGGTGGACGCAAGGGGAAAGGGAGTAAGATCCTTCCAGCTTCAGAAAAGATGGTACAGCCCCAAGATAATTACCCAGTTAGCTCATCCAGGCCTGATTTAATGTAGAAAACATCTACTAATTGCAAATTCGCAATTATCATTTCCAGAAGGTCAAAATAAATGAGAAAAAATGTTTATTCTCAGTCTTGTATTAAGGTATATATGAATAAGGTGTTTGTTACTCAAGAGATAGCAAGCATAAGGCAAAAATATTTAGGACTCCAAAAGAACAATATAGCACAAATGGCTGTAGCAGATGCCCAATCACATGCCTCATAGCTGGACAACTATATTTAAAAATTAAATGAAAAGTCTGGAGTTTGATGTCAAAGCATAAGAATAACAACAAAAGAATAACAGAACAAAAGCAGCAGGTTAACCAATACTGAATGTCTGAAGAGTTGGGTACATAGGTACACATTGTACATATCAGTATCCTTAGTAACTAGTCCAGTGTTTTAAATCATGCTCTGTTTTATAGTGGATTTCTAAAATTCAGAAGATACAAGCCAGCACACTTGATCAAAAATAATATAGAATGTAGTATGCGTGTGTTAACAGCAAAAAAACAGTTGGAAAAAAAAAGCTAGGGAATAAGGAGGAAAAAAAAAGCAGAGAGAGCTTTAATCTGGAGTTACTTTAAATGGTATTTCAATCAAAGGATGAACTTACATTTTGCAGTTTCCCTGGGTCTCTGTAAAAACAATCCTGTACTGATCCTCTGATGCATTTACAGTAAATGTCCTGGGGTACAAGTAATTCAGCAGGGCTGCCACACAAAACTTTAAGGGTATAATGTAAGAAATTATCTAAATTTTTGTGTAGGTTAGTGAAATTTTAACATTATTATATAATTAAAAATAAAGGACTCAGGGGTCTGACATGAAAGCATAAAGCATAGGATAGACCCAGTGTTACTCTAATCAGACAGCACTGTTCAAAGAAGGGGAGGACAAAGTGATTCGAAGAAACCAAAAAGAATCAATTCAAACCTTTACCCAGTTGTTTAAAAACTTCCACATCTTGGTAAAGAAAGTGTGGAAGTTCTAGGGATGATCACAAGGAGGAGGAAGACTGTGTGAATGGATTTGTTTTCAAAATATTTTTGTATGGATTCAGCTGTTAGCAGTGGAATGAGGAAAGCAGTATGTTGTAACAAAGTAGTTTCTGTGCCTCCTTGCTCCATGCATCTGAAGAAGTGTGTTGTGCCCACAAAAGCTCATGATACTCTATATATCTACAGATATAGACAGAGAGAGAGTTAGGTTCTGAGGTAGTACAGGATCACTCGTTAATTTTTTTCAGTTTTTATTTGTTCTTCTGTTTAGGGATGAAGGGTTCTGTGACTGTTTTAAATCCCCACTTTTTCCACGCGCAAAGTCCTTGCATTGTAAATAAATTGGGTTTAAATCTGCATTAACCTTCATGCAGTTAACTCTTGACTTACACGATTATGAGTTTAGTTTTTGACCCTAGTTTGCTACTGACACTGGTAAAAGTCCAAAACCCATGATGCAAGATGATTTGTTCAGGTTTTTGCAAGGAACATGTATGGATCATGAGTAATTTAGCAAATATAACTAAAAGTAGCAGCAAAGCTGCATAAGCACATGCTAATTAAGTAGCTTGAGTTGATGTACCTTGATTTGTGTTTCCCTGCCATCCTCACAGCAGGAGGCCAATGGGAGCAAATGCTCCCATTGGCTTCTCTTACTCCTAGCAGGAGGCAGAGGACTGGCTGCCGATGGAGGTGTCCTCTGAGTTCAATTTAGTGGGTCTTTACTAGTTCCACTAAATAGAACTTCAGAAGATCGATTGTGGAAGCAACAATCTTCCCTGGAGTTGAAGACATGACCTCAGTGTGTACCAGCAGCGCAAGAATGTACCCAGAGTTCTGGGTGGCCTTGTACAGCCCATCCTAACAGCAGTGCTGCTACAGCTTCACTGCATTTGGGCTAAATTAGGTTGATTACAGCTAGCACAGTGAGTCTGTCTAAGATGTACAGTCTCAGTTACTTTTGTTTTTAGGGTGTATTTACATATATCCTACAATGAAGAAGTTGAACTCCCATGTCCTGCATAGTGACAGCATGTTGACCTTTCTTTCTCTTTCCTTCCAAGGATGATTTTATGTGGTAAATTTTCCAGCAGTTCGTGACTCACAAATACTATTTATAGCTCTGAGCCAATCAGGATTTTTTTTCTGCATATTATACTGTCCTGCAAAATTGTGGGAGACACAAATTATCTCCTGACGGAGTTGTGCCAAAGTGTGGATTTATGCCAGCAGGGAATTTGGTCCAGAATTTATATCTTGGTTGGAGAATGCAAGAATCTTTTCCCTTTTGCACATTTGTTAATCAAATAAGCTTAATTTCTGTGTAGCTGTTTGTATTATTTTAAAAAAAAATCACTTGGCATTGTTTTCTCAATACACTCCACCCAGTTAGCAGGTGTTTAATCTACTGGAAACATGTCAAGTGGGCTCTGCTGATTTACTGAAGCAGGTGACTCATTACTCCCACATTAAAGTCTATGGAAAAACCCTGTGAATTCATTGGTAGCTGGATTAAGTCCTAGTTGAACCTAGTCTAAAACTTAGTGTTACCATGTTTCAGGTTCCCAAAACGGCTGTAGTGAAAAGGCGGAAGGGGAGGGGAGAGGAGTATATGGGAGAAAGGGGTGCATATCTTTGCAAATGTTATATATCTATATATGCCCCTGAGACACACACAAATCCTAGCCAAGGTGGTATAACACAACTGGGTATGTACATGTGAGGTATGGGACAGTGGATAGTAAAACCATCACCAGATCAATTCTCCGGTCATTCAGGCAATCTTATAGACAATGGTACTTCATGGCCATTGGCAAACAAGACAGATTCTACTAAAACTGTGTTGGGGAAAAAAGTCTGATTTATCTCTTTTCTTAATTTAATTTTTCCATAATGCTTAGCATGTTACAAGAAAAATGGGGCAACAGATATTATTTGGTGTCAGTCTTCCATGTCCTAATTTTTGTATTTCTCCTATGAGGGGGAGGAAAAAAGCACCATTGTTTAGCATTTAAAGAGTGAGGAGGAACGTGTAAATTCCATGGGCCAGATTGACTACAGAGTTTGGGCCAGCAAGTGTTCCCAGTCCTGGAAAATCCACAGGGGATCACAGGTGCAGTAGTAGAAAACTGCCACAATGTTAAGGCTGGTAAAGTCTGAAAAATGAATGGCACTGTTTGGAAGAAGACTGCAGCCTGGTTTGGTTTCTGCTGTGAGGAACTACCACTATGTTGCTCTGGTTGGAGCAAGCACTTCTACTCCCTTGGCGTATTTTCCAAAGGAGGGCAATAGTAGTACTACAACCTAGCACTGATTGAGATGAATCCCCATCGTGGCAGAAAGAATTTTGTCAGCATTCAGCATTTTGTACATGGCTCTACGCTAGATTTCCAATTCTGAACCTCCGCATTGATTATCCATTGATGAATCTTCCCATGAGATCCAGCTGGATTTTATTCATGCAGTATTTTCAGTCTTTTTTTAATATGAACATGAGACTGTAGCTTTTCTCTTTGGACAGTAAGTGCACTTGAAATACCATTCAAGTATAAAATAGTGGTAACATTTGTCACAAATCTGGATAGATAGCTGAGTTAGAGTCCAAAGAATATGTTGTGAGATTCCTGGATGATCTTTAGTGACATAGTTGCTACAGCTTAGGGCTCTTTTGTGCTATCCCTGATCAGTCTAGTAACAAACAATCAGCAAAAGTGTTCATAGGATCAGGTATGTGTACTTTTTCCCTCTCTCTGTAATACATTCAGGGGCTAACTAGGTCATCTAGGAGCTGGCCTGGCTAAAATAGAAAAGATACTGCATTTCCAGGAAGATGGAATGGAAGTACTTTTTCTCTCTGTAACTTTTATGCTTCTGGGACACTGAATAAATGTACTTGCTTGTGATTGTGGAAGGTCTAAAATAGATTTACTGTAGGACATAAATTATGAGAGGGGACTGCCTTGAATCTTTTTGTGAAATCTTCCTCTGTTGCTCTATCACTGGTAATTCCAGCAGTAGTTGCATTGGAGGGTTCATGAGAGACAACAGGATCACTGGGCCCCTTGGCAATGTGTGAGGGTGGCTCTGTGCTCCCAGGGCCTTGGTTAGAAAGGGGGGGTTGGGGCATCTAGCCCCTCCCCCCCCCCCCCCCCTCAGAGCTGGCTGGAGCACCCAGGATGGGGCTCTGGACCATGCAGTGCTGCACTCCAGTGGCGATTCAAAAAAGAGCCCAGGGCACCAGCTGCTGCTGCAGCAGTGGTGGTGGCAACTGGGAGCTCCGAGCTACTTAGAATCACCAGGCCCCCAGGCAGTTGTCCCCGTTTACGGCACCCCCTCCCCCCCTACACACACACACATCGACAGGCCTGAGCAGGATTGCACATGGAGTCAAGTGGCTAATGTTTTTATTCCCATGCCCCTAAATTGGACATGGTGGTATCCTGTCAACACCAGGAATCCTGTTGTCTCTTACTGCTTGATAGGATGAATTACAGGTGTCAACGATATTTAGTTTTAAAATCTCCTGTCCGATTGTTTTTAAATCTTGTCATTTAAGAAATACATCATTGGATATACTGTACATAGAGAAGAGATCTGTACTCATGACTGACTGGGTAACTCTCTCCTCATGCTTTCTTCCAGGTTTTGCTGGTACACCAGGGTATCTTTCACCAGAGGTCTTAAGAAAAGATCCCTATGGGAAGCCAGTGGACATGTGGGCATGTGGTAAGAAACAATTTTGAGGAACTATATTTAGCCCACTGCATTTACTCTGTCAACTGAGAATCTCTGTTTAAAGTATTTCTGTGCTAATTTTAAATGTTTCTACATCTCATATTTATTTTTTCAGTAATTTATTTCAACAGTAGTTATTATTTAAATGTTACAGTTAGCAAATGTGCTGCCAGGGCACTCTTGTCTATACTACTGTGGCAGCCATGTCAGAGAACCTAGATACTGCATGATTTTTCTTCAACATGATTCCCATTTGTACTCTAGATTGCGTTTTAATTATATTTAATTACCAAGCTAAATACCAATCTCTCTGTGACATTAGCAACCCAGTTAAAACCAGGTTAACAGTAGGGATGTTAATGTTTAATTATTGAAATGATTAACCAATAAGCCTGGGTTTATTGGTTAATCTTAACAACTATATGCTCCCCCCTTGCTGCCTCTGTATTTGAGGCAGCAAGTGGGGGAGGCTGGAGCATAGGCAGGCTACTTTTAAGCCAGCTCCCTTGCGCGTGCTGGTTGCCACAGAGCCACCTGCTCTCCTGCTGCCTCCCACAGAAGTAGCAGCACAGGGGGCAGGCAAGAGCCAGTGCTCAGGGGAAGCCAACTCTCCATGCATGCTGGTTCTGCAGAGCTGCCTGCCCCTCCCCTTGCTGCCTCCAAAGAGGTAGCACAGTGGGGAGGGGACAAGGAGGGAGAGGGGGAGCGGTGTTCAGAAGGAGCCTAATTAAAAGTGAGGCAGGAGCACAGAGGGTGAGGGGGGCCAATGGGAGCCGCCCCCTCGCAGGCAGAAGCTGCTCCTGTACCTTAAGGTGTGATTCAGCTCATGTCCATTGGGGCTAGTTGTATGGATGGATTAATTAGTGCTACTCTGGACTTTCTGCAGGTGTCATTCTCTATATTCTCCTTGTGGGATACCCTCCTTTCTGGGATGAAGACCAGCACAGACTCTATCAGCAAATCAAGGCTGGTGCTTATGATGTATGTGTTGTGAATACTCTTATGGTTGTTTTTAGCTTTAATGAGACTAAGAAGAGAATGAAAACTAAGTAGGAATTAGTTCCTAAATATTTGTTTATCAGCACATTTATGATCCTCTCTTTATGTGTGTAAACATCCTTTTGATCTGTGTTTTGTTAGCATGTTGTCAATATACAATATTTAATATATACCCTGATGCAATATATTTCTATCTGCCTATTTACAGGGTTCCTGTATTTCTACTACTGTGTGCCTTTGCTCACAATCCTATAGCTGTTGCTTTTTTAAGGGTAGTATTCAGAGAACTTAAGTTTTCTCATTTTGTTGCTCATTGTTGCCCATTTTACATTTCAGTTAGATGACCTACACAGTATCGTTGATTTACTTACAAGTTTGCGTGTGTGTGTGTGGCTGGGGAAAATGTATGCAAAAAGAGTCTTAACAAGTACACATACTTTGGATAGTATCGGGTAGTATCAAAAGAATTTCTGTCAAATTCCTTTACTGCTCAAAGTCTGGTAGTTGATTAGTCTAAAATCCTTTAAGAATGGTGGTTACTTTTGCCTTGTTCACATTTTTCAGTAATATTTCCAAATTGACACAACTCTAAACTCTGCAATGTACCATTGCTACCAACCCGTTACTTCTTCCTATGCATTACCTTTCATAAAACAGTAGCCTGCCTAAATATGCATAACAGTAATGTGATAGAGCCCAGTTCTTCAAGTATTTTGTAGGAATAGTCCTATTGACTCTCTGTGCCCAGCAGTGAACATTGGAAGGATGAGACTTGTAGTTTTGAGGTGTTATAGATTTTACAGTGGAAGACATTTATTTTAGACTAACTGGAATCAAATCTATTGGTGCTCAACTATTAAGCAATTTAAAGACTTCCTGGTTCAGAAATTGGTACGGCATACAGAGCTTTCTATCTTTTAAGCCCTCCATTTAAGCCTCCTAATGGAAATGAATGTATGGTCTGTCTTGTTCTTATTGCTCAAGTGCCTATTTGCAAATCATGCCATTCCAGTTGGCACTACAGTCACAGCTGACAAGGCAGAAATTACATATGTATGGAGACTGGACTCTGCTTCCATAGAGGTTCTACAGAACAAAGTAGCACTCTCTCTCCTCTTTGGTACCTGTTGTGTGGATCCGCAGTTACTTCAGGGCTTTTAGACTTAGAGACTTTAAGGCCAGAAGGGACTACTGTGATAAATCTAGTCTGACCTCCTGAACACTGCGGGCCAAAGAACCTCACCTATGCACTTTTGTAATAGACTAACCTACCTCTTTCTGAGTTAATGAAGTTCTCAAATCGTGATTTAAAAGCTTCAAGTTATAGAGAATCCACCATATTTACTAGCTGAAATCTGAAATCATGACCTAAGCTCAATTTCCATAAACTCTAAATTAATTAATTTAAAAGATGAAAAAACAAGGAGTTTAAGGCTATTTCAGGAAAGCATTCAAGCACACACTTAAATCCAAATCCAGTGTGATTTAAGCACATTCTTAAATGTTTTGCTGATCAGGAATGGGATTAAATACCTGATTAAGTGGTTTCATAAATCAGGGCCTAAACATTAGCTGTCATATAAGCTATTTACATTCCAAGAAGACAATTGAGTGTATGCAGTAATTTGTTTATTATTTTTATTTCGGTAACGTCTTAGGCAGTATACAAAGACACAAAAAAGCACACTCCCTGAATTGAATTTCTTTGCCTACTTTATTTGCCTTGAATTTGTAATTTCATCCTCTGAGTGTCAGTTTGCATCATGTTGTACAACGTGTCCCCGCTATAAGTTGCCCCAGTGTACATCTGTTCTGCACTAAGGTTGTTGACGCTTGTAGGAACTGATCCATTATAAGTCCTCCCATTCCTTGCTCTGAAGTCATGCAAAAAAAAAAAAAATGGCACAAATGGAAGTTAGCTGCGAGAAAAAAGAATTCCCTACTTTAAGTTGTTTCGCTTTTAAGTCCAAGTTTTTAGAATGTTTCTTGGACTTATAGTGAAAATGGCCTGTATGCATTTCTATAAATGGTGCACTACAAAATAGGTTAACATCTGAAGTAAGAGAGACAGAGAATTACATATATATTTTTTTCTTAAGTTTCCCTCACCAGAGTGGGATACTGTGACACCTGAAGCCAAAGATCTCATCAATAAAATGCTTACCATCAACCCTGCCAAACGTATCATAGCATCAGAGGCACTGAAGCATCCATGGATCTGTGTAAGTAGTTTCCATTTGCCCACCAAAAAAAATTTACGTGCAAAATAGTAGATAGCATTGCACAGATTCACAAGGTTAATGAGTATTTTATTTTATTTTTCATTCATTAGAGCTGTTTCATTGCAATGTAGTTTTATAGAGGAGATAAAATTGTAATTATCTAAGTTTTGTAAACCTACCGTAATTATCATAACTGAGGCTCCAGCCTGAGAAACTGCTCCATGCAAGCAGACACTTATACCCATCAGAGTAGAGATTTCACTGGGGTCCCAGTGGATACAGACATACATTTGCACTGAAGAGAATGGAGAATCATGGCTCTGAAGCCATCATTATTACAGGTTGGAAATCCATGATCTGGCACCCTCTGGACCTGATTGGTTGGGAACGAGGGAATTTGCCAGACCCGGGGAGGTCCCCTGCCATCAGCGCCACAGCCCTTCCCTGCTGCTGGCTCCTTCAGGCCCAGCACTGCTCGCCCAGCTGGGTGGCTGGCCAGGCCAGTCTTCTGCCCTCTACCTCCAGCTCTGGCTAGGGCTGCCTCGGGTGCCCGGTGCCTCGGTGGGGCTGCCTCAGACACCTGGCCCCGCTGATGTGGGTGGGCTCCTGGCATGCCAGCCAAGTAGGGATGTCCAACCCTACTGCTATGGGTGGGCTCCCAGCATCTGATCCAGGGCTGTCGCAGACACCTGACCCCACTGCCATGCTTCTGGTGCCACAGCCGAGGCTGCCATGAGCACCAGCTTTATTGCCTCAGGCCCCAGCCTGGGTTGCCATGGACACCTTTCCCCGCTGCCCATGGACTCAGCCCAGGGCTCTCTGTTCCAGGGACGTCTGTGGTGCTGCTGGGTCACGGATGTTGCCGGACCAGGAAGTCCCTTTTTAGGGAGGAAGAACCTGTATATGTATACTCAGGGAATACAGTATGAAGTAACAATTCTCAGTGTGCTTTGCATCTCCAGGGCAATTCTCAACCCCTCAGGAGATAGGTAAATGCTGCTGCCCCCTTTGTGCAGGTAGGGTGAAACACAAAAACAAGAAGTTAGGGTAGGGATTTGCCTGAGGATACTCTGCAAGTCATTGACAGAGCCACAATGAGAATTGGTATGTTTTGGTGCCCATCTCTGTATTCATTCTAGTAGGCTGCACTTCTCTATCAGACAGCCATACAAGTAATCATTAGTTTCAGATGAAATTAGGATATTAAATATTTCTCTTAAACATTTGATGTTACTGATAATGTTAAATAAAATTTCGTTTATCTTTTTAAAGGAGAATTTTATAGGACGTTACAATTCAGGATGCAATTACTAATTTTTTAAAAAAAGTTATAATTCTATATGGCTAAAATGGTTTGATTTTAGTCACTCTGCAGTCAGACGTAAACCCCACTGATTTAAGTTGTAATTTTTCATAGTAAGGACTAAGTATAGACTGAGTCTACAGTTTTGCATAAGGTTACATTACCATGGATCTCTTCACCCAGACAAAATCTTGGGAACTTCTCAAGCAAAGCTTGATGTCTAGTATGTAGATACCAGTGACGGATAGGAGCTTAAGACTTAAGAATTTGGCTCATGTGGGTTATAATATGCTTGTTCTCCAGTGAATAAAATATAACTCCTATATTTGTGTGTATTGAATATATTCTTTTCTTCTCCCTCAGCAACGTTCTACTGTGGCCTCTATGATGCACAGGCAGGAGACCGTAGATTGCTTGAAGAAATTCAATGCAAGAAGAAAACTAAAGGTAAGAAAGAAAATGTCTTCAGTGGAATTTTAGTAGCAGGCAGTTTCGGAATGATAAGGTGGCATATATTCCAAGAGGATAGCCATTCCTTAAAGGGACGTTATGGTAAATATTACCTATCTAGCGAACCCTTAAAAACAAGGCTATATAAATAAACATTGGGTGTTTAGATCTTTAAATAAGTACATCCATGTGAATTATGCTGCATTGCTTAACAGACAATATAAGGTTGAGCTTTGCTGCATGCATTTCTAGCAGCATTTTTATTGGTTTTTAGAGATCGCTTTCAGCAAATCCATGTGCTACAACATGTACTAAGTTAATATAAATGTAACCTACATCTCCCTCTTGAATCGGATGATAGAGCTCTCTGTTTTAAAAAAATCACCAATATTGGAAAACCTCCCTTAGTTGGTTTTGGGTAGTGTATCTTTTATACGCTTTGCAGCCCAGCCACTATTTTACAGTAGTACATATGCTCATGAACATGCACAAAATAAGAAAGTTATGTATAAATCCCAAGAAGAACACAACTCACCCCAAACAACTAAAGTAAGGGTCTGGGTTTTATTCCCAGTGTCATATGTTTGCAATTTAATTGATGGAGTGGTAACTCTGTGTGTGGACATGTATTTGTGGCCAGACTTTATCACAGCTCAGTAGCAGGGATTTTATCATAGGTGGTAATAGCATTACGAATAGTCTACGGTTTCTTCATTCCCAATGTACTTCACCTTATGCCAATAATGCATGGAAAATCCATCATTCCAGAGTTGATTTAGATATTCAAATGATTTATGATTAAGCAGATTAGCAGATTTGCCTTTTTGGTCTATTCATGTTTAGAACTCTGTATAAATAATGCTAATATAAGATAACATATGTGTACACAGGGTGCCATTTTAACAACTATGCTGGCTACCAGAAATTTCTCAGGTACGTTTATTGAACTCCAAATCCTTATGTTCTTTACTTTTATATATCTGCTTAATGCAATCAGGATCTAATGAGAATTAGGTTAGTACAGTCAAGGTCTCTGATAGTGTGGAGAATGTAAAGTATGATATATGAAAGTTATTTCTTTTTTGCAGTGATTGGAGCAGAAATTACTCCAGCTGGAGTAGATTAAACTAAAAGGATCATTTTGAGCATTTTATAAGGTTGCAGTGGGTTAGCTGTAATAGTTTGGTGACAATGTCTGTTTTCTTTACTGTGAAGGGGAAGGTTTTTTTCATTCTTATTTTTATAATCTTATCAGAGAGACTAGACTAAATACTCCAGAGAGAAAAATTGCAAATGCTAAAGATAACTCTGCAAGTTGAAATGTTATCAAAGAATAATATTTAAAAAGTTAAATTGCATAGTAAAAGTGGGGGTCAAATATGCAATATTAAAATGCATTCTAAACTTTACAGACACAGTTTTGGTTTTATCTGCTATAAAAAGCAATCATGTTGTACATATTTTACTACTTTTCTAGTAATATATCAAATCAAGTTTACCTTTAATATGATTCCTATTTGCGTTTCTAAATACTAACAAACGTGAAAATTCTTCACTCTTCCTTTTTTTGTCATATCGAGCTTCATGTTACAACAACAAAGAGTACTTTCTGCATATGAAATAATAGCTATAAATTTTCCTGAATTTACTCTCAGGTATAGGTAGGTGTTCGTGGAAAATAAACTCTCTAATGGTCAAGCCCAGGGTATAGTTATAATTGTGTCTTAATTAGGAACAGCCACAAAATAATATTATGTTTACATTTACAGTTACATATTTAAAGTTTTTAGTGAAATAGTAAAGAAAAAGTACTAAAAAAAATGCAATACATTCCTGAAAGGGAAATTTGAAAGTGTTAAAACCTTTTTTTCTTCTTCATTCTCTGATTGCCTAAACTTCTCTCCCTTGTTTCTTCTATTCCCCCAACCATCTAATCTCCACCCTGCAGATTAGCCAGACACCTGTATTTGTAGTTATGATATATTTTTGTTTACGTTGGGCTTCAGTTCTTATTTGCAAGGGAGAAGCTGGGAATTACCCAAAGTAAACCTCAATATTTGAGAATTATTCTGGAGACCTCTATCTAACCAGACATTAATAATGCATATAAAACACTGCAAATAGGAGTGCAGGCAATTGAAAAACTTAAGGTGATTTTAGCAGTTATTAATCAGTAACTCTGCAGCAACATGTATCGCAATACGTGTAACACAATAAAATGCGTCAGTGCATTGGGCATGTTTTGAAGAATATCCAGAAATAAATAAGCTACAGCAGGATGCATGTAAGACCAATTGGTTTAGTCTAGTTGGTGTTTGGAATACACATTGCCCTTCTTTGTTAGGTTCCGCTATTTAATATATAGCTGTAACATGTAAAACCATCTTCAGGGATTGTAATTTATATTTGATTAATGTTTCATGAATTGCTAGTAATTTTCAGTTTCCTTTAAGAATTGAATAGAAATGCTTTAGTCTAAGGCTGAGTCTCTTGACAGTAATGGATTATCTTAAAAATGTAAAGCATGTGTATAATTTCTAATCACTCTCCATATAATTGTTTCATATGCATCATATGTAAGTCTAACACCTCTCTGAATAACAAGAATATCATAATCCTTTAAAAATATTGTTTCAGAATGTCTTGGCATGGTGATCAGACTTTTTCATTCATCATTTCAGTGGTTATTTTAAAACATACAGCAGCATTCTGCACTTGAGATGACATTTTAGTTTTTGAGTTATTCATTGAATTTCATTGAAAGCATGCTTTTAAGGTTATTTGTCCATAACAATGTGTTTATAAAAGTGTTTTATTTTTCCTTTTCTTTCTTCCTTGTATGTGGAATGTGTGTTTCTTGTGAGGTAAGACCCTCAGCAATCGAAAGAAACATTTTTTTTGTGTCTTCTAAGCAAAATTGCTGTCTGCCTTGAACCACACTAATCTCTGCTTGTTGTCATAATTTCATTTCTTCTCAGTTTGCTTTCTGGCTTATTAGCAGCATTTTAGGATTTCTTTGTAACTGTTGCTTTTTAATTGTAGGAAATCAGCATGGTCAGATTTTTAATTATTAGCTTCCTTTAGAATATGCTTTGCTACTTGCAATTTTTATTCGCAATAGTGTCCTTGCTTACACAAAATGCTTTTAAATAGTATTAGAATTGTATCTCAAGCCAACAAAAAGGCAAGAGAGTCATAGTTTAAACTGGTATTAACACTTCTTTAAATAATTCTGTGTGGGTATTGCAGTATGCATAGTATAGGATATATGCGATGCTTGTTCTGGACATGGAGCTTCTATTATTGTACAGGATTGAAGTATGAAATAGTCCCATAATATGAGATACCATATATGAATCTCATACAAGAGACCTTTCAAGAGACACATTCTTTTACATGCTAGTAGTCCTACATCTGAATGGGAGGAGTAATGGCTGTTGCAACCTTCATTATTACTCCTTTTTTTTTTTGTTTATTTTTATTTAAAAATCATAACATTTCCTTAACATGAAAAATATTTTAAACATAGAGCACATCGGAAGGATGTAGATCATATTATGACAAGCCACTTGTAAGAATTTATTTTTTTCTCTAGGTTTTTAGTTCTATGAGTATAAAATAACCTGTGAAACTACTACGCTTCTATTTCCCCCCTCCCCCCCCCATAGCTTGAAAATAACCATTTTCTACTAAATTAATTTAAGAATTTGATACTCTTCCTACTTTGGCTTTTGGGCTCTGCTGCTGTACAGATAATCAATCAGGAACCAGAGCCCATTGAGCTAAGTGCTGTTCCAACAATTAAAAAAGAAGACAGTGTTTAGTTCACAGAATTTTAAAGTAAAAAAGCAGCATACTTTAAATATAACACACGTTTTTTACAGACAAAAATATTCTGCATTACTGTTTTTAACACGTGGAGATATTGTGTCAGTTTTAGCTTGAAATACATTTTTAGGAATGAAACTTTTCTGTGTCTGAAAAACAGAGGTTTATAATAATGGCAGCAGTGACTGTCTTAACAGTGGTCTGAGTGGATATACAATCATAATTTATTCACTTTTAAAAGGCAGTTTTACAGTTTACAAGATTATACAAGATAACCTTAACGTTATTTCTAAATAAAGTTTCAGTATCCCTTTTACAAATGTGAAAGACACTTTCATGAAGATCTGTTCTTCTCTGCACAGATGCTATGGTTATGTAGTCCATCATGTATAAAGTAGAATCATAGTAATATGAACACTTGACCTAGACACAACAGCGGAATAAAGACGTAGTCATGGAAATGGAGTTGAAGAAGCAGCTTTATCTTCATTAAATTAATCAAGAGAAATGGTATCTCTGCAAACTACATGGCTAAAACAGTTCCAAACAGAATAGGCCGCCCTCCTGCCAGTCAAATAAAGGGGCCTTTCTCAATCCTGTAAATTTTATAAACTCCCATTTAATTGGTTATCTAGTTAAATGTAGTGTTTAACCAGTTAATCAACTAAAGGGGGAGGTTCCCCGCTCAGCTTTTCCGCCCATGGCGTACCATGGGTGGGGGCCTGCTCCCGGGCACTGGTTAACCATTACCTGCTAAGCATCAACCAGTGATGTTACCTGTTCACATCTCTATTTCTCAAGTGTCTGTGATTCCTGCTATTCTTCTTCATGATCAAGATAAAAGTCCAAATGAGTAATGATTCAAATTGTGCGAGACAGTGACACCATCTCCCAGACCCAGCAACACCAAGAGCCAGGTCCAGAGTCTTCCAAGCAAACTGTCTTGCAGCCCTCCATTTCTTTGCACTTTTGTCCTCAGCAACTGCTTCTCTGTGTAACAAGGAGAAGTGGCGGCAAATGAATGCCCCTTCAAAAATTTGTGGACAAATATCAGCACAATGGCTTAGCCACTTAGTCACCTTATATCACCACCGGCTATAACACCATGGACAAGACCTAGAAATTGTGACTCCAAGTTCACCTCTGCATCCTTCAGCTCTTCTTCTGTTCCTCCTCCTGGGTATCTTGCTATGTGCAGAGGGCACCAGGAGTTGGTCACCTATCCCACAAGTAGTATTAAATATATCAAGTCAAAGGGTACGTCTACACTGCACAGCTATTTCGGGATACCTCTGGTATCCTGAAATAGCTATGCCGCATCTACATGAACCTCCTGTTATTTTGAAGTATTTTTTGAAATAATGGGCAAGCTATTTTGCCATCCCGGTAAACCTTGTGCAGGTTAAGGGATGGATCAAAGTAGCACATTATTTTGAAATTTGGCGCTGTGTAGATGCACCAAATTTCAATGTAAGCTATTTTGAAATAGATTCAAAATAAGATATGCAATTTGTGTAGTGTAAGCTGCATATCTTATTTTGAGTTTTGGGTGCTGTGTAGACACTCTCATAGGGACTGGGGGTCAGTAATGTATCTTTTCCATCCACTGAACCAACCAGAAGGCTAAAAGCTGGAATTCATGGCCAATTCTAGCCCTTATATTCCCCTCTACTCCACCATAACCCTGCATGAATGACAGGATACCTTCAGAAATCAAGGCCCTCTAGGATCTCTCTCCTGGTTTGGCTTGGCCACAGACCCCAGTGCCAGCTAGCAAGGTGGGCATTTGTATCTGACAGAAAATCTAATCTCTCCCCATTTCTGAGCAAAAATGTAATAGAAAAAAATGCTGTCATTTTTACAAAATACAGTGGGATCACAATTGGCTGATTTAACTGGGATGTAGGCCAAAAACCAAAAATCAGAATAAACCAGAGAATAGGAGGTAGGGCTCCACCCATCAGCTGTGGCCTGCTGAGCTCCATCTGTCAGCATGACAGGCAAGGAGTCCCAGCCTGTCAGGGCTGACTACCCAAGCCTTGCTGCTGTCAGTGCATTTGGAGGGCCAGATAATGGAGGTTTGGTTAAATGGGGTTCTACTGTATACGAAAATGTACTTCCTTGGGAGTACATATTCACTCATAAATAAAACAAAACAGTAAGTGATAGCCACATTTTGTGACTTGTTCTTGATATTTTTGGCCGTGACCCTGCAAGCATTGACTCCTGGTGAATAATTCAGTTGAATTCAATGCATCTACTCATACAGTTAGTTATATGCCTAAGCCTTTGCCAAGTCAAGGCTCCGTGTGTTTGCTCATACTCTAATGCGCAGATTTTGGAAATTTGCAGAAGTTTGCTCTGTGAAATACTGAGGTTCTAATAGATATGGCAGTTATTTAATGCTTAATGCTCAGTGTAGATCTTGACAAAATCAAAGTAGCAAATCTAAGAAAAGTGGTACTGTGGCTTAAGTCCAGTAGTTTGGGATTTCTCAAGTAATGTAAACATTCCATTTCCTAAATGTAAGGAGGCAGGAGCCAGAGATAAAGTGCTTGCTTTGCTTTAAACCTGTTGAACTTTATTGGTAACCAGCTGACATTGATTTTATTCTCTCGTTTTACAGCAGCAAAGAGTTTACTGAAAAAACCTGATGGAGTCAAGGTAGGTTAAACAAATGCACCAAATTATATATCATGCAGTCTCTTTGTCCTTGTACTCTTCCAAATTCTGTTGCCTTTGCAACAGGAAATAACTTAATCTCTTCTTCATAGCTTGTGTTATGAAATGGTTCTCACTGTATATTTGAAAAAGTTAGTTTGTTTAAACTCAAAATAATATACCAGAAAAGAAATAGCTGAAAAAACTCTGCTGTTTTATTAAATAAGGTTAGCAAAATACTGACAGGAATATTTCCTTTGCTTTTTTCATTGAAAGTGTAATCATGTTGTTAGTGACTGACTGACTATTTTTAGCTGCTTAATGTAAATGAGACTTTGGTCATGGGTGTGTTTTAGGTTTTCAGTTGTTGGTATGAATCTGCTCCTTTCGTGCTTTGTTTCCTTGAATTCCCATTTAAATTGATGCAACATCAGAAACTTACTGATAGTTTGGGTACACCCACATGAGATACATTGTACTGTACTAGGAGTACTTGGTGTGTTTGGCAGAAGTCAGAGGGTTTAAGAACTAGGTGAGTAAGCTCCTCCTGATTAATAGACTTTGCTAAGAATGGAAACATGTTGGCAACTTTCATAGATGATTTAGAGTTCGTATTTTCATATCACAAGGTCCCACAGGAGGAGAGAGACTTCACAAATGAATGTTCTGAAAAATAACCAAGACAAAAAATCACTGAGCATTGAAAAATGTGCTCTTTCTCTCAGAGGATTCCTGAAGACTAAATAAAGTACCTCAGCTTTCCTTAGAGAATACAAAGTTTCTTCCCTTTGCAGTTCTGCCTCATTTCGTGGGAGTGTATCTTAGATCAGAATTTTAGTTTTTTGCTTAAGCTTTTTTCATAAATACTCAATTAAAGTAGGTTTATCCCACACACACACACACACACACATGTGTTAAGGTTCTTAAAATGAATTCAGTATTCTAAAATGAATTCAGTATACTATGACCTGAATGTTATGCGAAGTCAAATAATAGTCATCTTAGAATAAAGAAGCATGTCATTCTGTACAATTAGGTCATTGCAATACACATTCCTTGACATGTCTTTGTGGAATGCAGGAATTTTATGTGTTCCTTTCATGCTAGTATTTTTATAAATACCATTCTTCCTACAGGTTTATAATGGTATCTGATGTATCTCATTTTTTATAGAAATATGACTGACAATTGTCCTCAATGGTTTGGTAATATTAAACTTGTTGGAAACTGATAATTTTTGTTTTTTGGGACGTATCAGGTTTTTGGGTTTGGGTTTTTTTTGGCCATTTTCCTGCTTAGTTATGTGAAGCAAGGGAGGGAATATTGACCAGTGTGGTATCTTTATTTTTAGCATTTTTCACATGTAGAAACTTCTCCCCACTCTGCAAAAAAAAAAAAAAAAAAAAAAAGTGTTTCCTTTTCTACTGCAGCTTAGGCTGTCTTTTTTTTAAAACAAAAATATACTGTACTCCATGCATTGATACTTTCAATCCAACCAGTCACATTTTCTTTTTTTCCTTTTCTCTCTGACTGGTCAATTCAGAAAAGGAAGTCCAGTTCGAGTGTTCAAATGATGGTGAGGATCTTTATCTGCCAGATTTTTTCCTCCGGTGAAACATTCACACTTAGAAATCAAATAATTGCATTTAATCTGTTAACATAACTTAAGAAGCTGCAAGACTTTTAACATGCAAACTTGTGACTTCTAAGCCAAGAAGTGCTACTTGCCATGTGTAATTAATTGTTCCACAATTTTTTAAATCAAGATTTTTAGCTATAAAAATATAAATACAAAGAAGTAGATGTAACATTGGCCAATGCAGCTGTCTTTAGGACACTAATAAAAACAGTATTTGTTTTAGTCTTCCATTATTTTAATCTCCTTGGATTTAAAATTAGTAACATTTAATTAATAAATGGATAATACTTATTATGGAGATTATTAACATAGATACTATGTAATAATTCACATAGACACTTTTAAAAAATTAATTAATTGCAAGATTTGGGAAATTGCTAGAACTTTTACTCATATAGTATGAATATGGTTCAACATCAGGAATCCATTCAGACACACCTCCCTGCCCCTGCTACCCATCCTTTTAAAAAAAAATTCACGATAAGAGCCAGTTTTATTGATTCCAGCTTTAAGTGAGTGCACATCCATTATTCAGGACACTTTTAGGTGATTTTCAAAACCTTTTGTACATTTTTATTGTCCCTTGAAATCAAGTGATAAATGAAAGGATGGTTGTTTATTTTGTTTTGGGGGACATAGTACTTTTAGACTCAAATCATAAGGTTTTTCAGTGTGTTTCAGTGTCATTTGACTCACATCGGGATGCCATCTCATAGTCACAGACCACACATTTGACTCACATCAGGATGCCATCTCATAGTCACAGACCACAGCAGACATACTGCCTTTCCTTCTCCAGACCCCCAACCCAATTCCCTTTCTAGTCCAGGACCTCATCCCAAGACCTCCTCAACCTTTGCTCAGATTTCATCTCAAGAACCAATACAAAAACTCCCTTCCTCCAGCACCAGAATCCCTAGGCAGTTAGTGACCATCCTCCTATTTAACTGGCATTGATCCTGAGTTTTGGAAGACTGGCGGTGAACCCGGCAAGGTAGTGCAACATGACACTTCACCATGCCTATCTGCCACTGATCCAGCTATTGGAGAGGCACATATTCCACTTCCTTCCCAACTGGTCACTTCGTCATGGACAAACAGACTTCCCATTGAAAAGCAGAAAATTTTTGTTATGTGTAAATGGCCTATATCATCTTCTAGTTGGGGACGGTTGCTCATGTAAGAAAATAGTTCGTTTTAATATGGAAGTACAGCCCATTTAGCAGATAAGGTGGGATATTTTTCAGCATCCCAAGCACACTGTGTGTCTGCTCTTATGCTCTGCAGAAACACCACATAGAATGCTTAGAGGATTTAAATCCCAAGACACCATTTTATACAACTTTTATAAGATATGTATGTAAATCAATAATACTGAAGACACTATGGCCCAACCCAACTGTTTGCTCTGAGAGAGAGAGATCAAGAGAGAGAGAATGTGTGTGTGTTGCTATGAAAGTTAAAAGGTGTTTCCTGGCAACCACAATTTTCGTAGCAAAAGTTTTCTTACCTGACAGAAGTACACCAATTTAGAACAGTTTTCCATAGTCACTTAATTAGTTGGCATGAAAATGTTGAATTTCGTTTTTTCAATAATTTTCCCTTTCTGTTAAAATAAATGTAATAAAGGTGATTTAAAATATATAAAACCTATCTATTTACTTAAGTTTGGAAGTGTTTAGCCAAATGCTGATCATACCGAGGAAATAACTTGACTATGCAATATATTCTCTCTTTTTCATTTGTACTAATGTAAATTTTGTATTCTTGATGTAATCTTAATAGGCTTGAATATATATTCTTCAGTTCTCAAAGATAGCTGGAATGAATGTTACTTTTCATTTTTATAGGATTTTTGACCGGGAGAGTATGGGCTCAATCCTGCTCTCCTTACTCAGGCAAAATTTTCTCTGAAATTTGGTTATTCTTTTATATGTGTTCTATGATAAGCGCTTCTATGGTATGTTATTTGATTTCTGATGTTGCTGGTTAGGACAGTGTGAAGTCTAGTGAATCTTTCATTCCCTCCCTCATACATGCTTTCTATGTGTTCATTTCTTCTTTCTTTTGCTTGTTGATTGCTTCTCTCTTGATGGCCAGATTGTCAACGAAGACTCATTTTTAATTGTACAACTTGGAAGACTTGTTACAAGAGAGAAAAAGAATATGATTGTCCATGGTGGTTGTTATATTGTTCCATAATCCATGTAATTTTAATTTGAAAAAACATCTCCTTGAATTCAGTGTTTTTTCCCTGAGTAAGGAGTGTGGCAGTAACATTTTCTAGCATTAATTAATTGTTCCTCACGAAACCCCTGTCAGGTAGTTAATGCTGGCTGAGATTGTTCCTAATGTAGAGACACTTCGCTGCTTGGAATGTGTCTTTCAGTAGCTTAGAGGATATATTGACCTTGAGTGCAAGCCCATTTTGTACCAGAGCTATATGTCTGTATTAGGGATTCCCATCATTTTAGCTACATGGATGTAGTTGTAATAGCACAGAGTTCTGCAGTCTAGAGATGTCCTAACTAAGGCATTGGCTATGCTGCAGCTCTGTTCTCATTCCAGCAATTGATGGACAGCCACCAATGTAGCTGCATTGATGCAAACACCTCAGGTAAAATCCCAGCACAAGTAAAATGAATGTCACAGTAGCATTCGTTGATTTCATTGGGGGTCATAATTTTACCACTAATGTGTATTTGCCCAAATAAACCTGACTGAGCACCTTTATCAGTCTGATCAGGGATTGCATCAGTGCAGAGTTAGAATTGGGATAAAGCTGAAGTGTAGACAAGGTTTGAATATATATATTATCTCCATCACACAAACCGGTTAAGTGAATTACTTAAGGTCATGGAGGGATTCATGAACTGAAATTAGAACTCAGAAATTCTTGGCTATCAGCCCAGTGCTGTCATTTTACACTCTGATATTATTTAGGTCTTGAACATTTTAAACTTTCTAAAGACTTTTATGTAAGAAAAATATTCCTTGGCAGCCTAATTGAAGCAAAGTGCTTGACTTTTTATTTAAAAAAAAAAAAAAACTTTAATATTGACAAAATGTCCATCAGTGCAAGAAGAGAAGTCGGGATTTTTATTCTTGAATTTCTTTCCAGGTTAATCTTTGTTTTTAGTACCAGATTACTGGCACAGTGGAATAGTAGAGAATTCTTTACCTCTCTGAATGATAGAAATGTCAATCCCTGTGTACAGATAGTCTACCTTACATCTTTCTGTTTTGACCTGTTCCTCTTTTAATTGCAACTGGTCAAAAAAAGTTTTAATTTAGTAATTTTAACTCAAAATAGCTTGACACCAGTGACAAAATCCCACAAGCTTTAGTTATAATTGAAACCACCTTTCCAGTTGGTATGAAAATTTAATTTGGGTCTTGATTTTTAAAATCTCTCTTGTTTTGCCACCACAGTGATATTTACCTACCTGATTTTACAAATGCAGTTACGGAAGATGGGCATAAGAATCAGATACATTTAAATTAATTGCTAAAGTCTTAGAGAGAGAGAATACTTTTTTAAAAACCAGTAATAGCCCAGTCTTTCAAAGACTTATGTTTTGAAGTCATTGAGATTACTTCCACTGTTTGCAGGATCAGGGCCAAAAATTGTAGTATTGAGAAGCTACAGTACAAAAGTTGCCCTCTTAATTTAGCTTTTGTGGTCTGAATGGCCAGTGTAAAGAAAACGCAAGATACGGAAATGACAGTCTTGAGGTTTTAAAAAACAAGCAAATTCATTTATTTCATTTAATGAAAATGAAACACATATATTTTTCATTTAAATGCTTAATTGGGGGGAAAAGTCACACAGTGAATATAGCTGTACACATTCTGACCTCCGTGGTACCCATTATAAATCTGGAATTACCAATTTCAGTGGAATAACTCCAGCTTTATATGGGAATAAATAACAAATAAAGCTGCCTTCCATGAAAAACAAAATATTTAACCCAGAGACAGCCTTGAAATGATGATATGTTACTTACCATTGCTGCATGATCATAAATTGGCAAGTAAGTCACAATAGAAGTGTAGGCTTTTTTCTTTCCAAGAGCCATATTCATAGTGAATGCCTATAACTTGGTTTTAGCCACTATTAAAACATTCTTCATTCATTTGTGTCATAGCTGTAACTGCCTATGTTCTATATAGAAATTCCTAGAACAAGTTGAAAATACTGTAACTAGTCTTTGTGAAAAGCTATAGCCAATTATCAAATCTGTTGTCAATGTTCTTTTCAAGTTCATAAGTTGACTCTTCTGTGATTCTTCATTTCCCTATCTATATCTGTATATAGATATTCTATATAGAGAGATATAGATATGCTAGCTACCAAGATTCTAAGGCTTGTCTGTTTCTATTTTCTGCATACTTACAGATAAACAACAAAACCAACGTGGTAACCAGCCCCAAAGAAAATATTCCTACCCCGGCGCTGGTATACCTGGAATCTTTCTTTTCACCCTATCTTTAAGTTTACTGTTTTCTGTTTGTTTTTTCTCTTTATTCTCTGCTTTTACTCTGTTTGCTTTGTGAAATTTCAGAACAATTTTTCTTTTGTTTTTTCTTTTGTGTTCTTTTTTGTGAGGGAGTCAATTGTGAAGCAACATTTTATAAATAGAAAATGTGACATAAAAGCTGGACGTGGTAGTGTGGTAACACTATTAGTGATAGTTCGTTTTTTTGTTTTTTGCATGCTGTGTCAGAAAGTGAATAGAATGCGCTTTATGTGGCCCTTAGCTCTTCACCTGATGGTTGTCTTTCAGTGCTTAATTTTTTTTTTAAATTGTACCTTTTTTTTTTTAACACAAGTTTTGACATCAAGGAGAGCTAACAGGGTTATTTCTAGACAATAACAAAATAGACCTTATTCAGATTTTCATTTCCCCCATTCTTGGACAACCTGGCAGGACTTTGCAAGGCTTCATTTCCTGGGATCAAGAGGCACCTTAGTCCTAATGCTTTCTGTATAGTGCCATTATACTTTAAATTTACAGTAGGCATTACTCAATAAGAAGTTGTTTGGGGAATATTACAAAACAGTAGGACAGCATACATGAATATTCTATGTCTCAATCTTGCTTCTGTTTATAAGTCACCTTTCTTAAGAATATGCTATAGAGGAAGGCTTACAAACATAAATAACATAAATACTACTCTTTACCTAAATTTAAGCAGTATTACTTCTCATGTACTTTGGTACATAGCTCTGAAGAAGTGCTTTTGCTCTTTAATATAAACATAGGGACAAATTCTGCCCATAGATTTGCATATGCAGCTTCCACAGAAATCTGAGCTGTGAAGTCATTTCACAGCAGTAGTTTATAAGCTTTATGGCCACAGTGTCCTACCAGTTCTGAAGGAGTAGCCACTATGACTACTGCTATAGAAAACTAGCCACACTCAACCGGCTAAATAGCCACATGTGGCTAGTGCGGGGCTGGTAAAAATATGGCCCAGAGGCCAGATCTGGCCCATCGACCATCCTTCTGGGACCCTCAAGCACACAGCTCCCACAGTTTAAAGTGCAGTCCTTACAACTCTCTGCTCTGCAGGGACAAGGGGTTTTGTGGGATCTCCCCAGCCCAACCCTCAGCTTCTTTCAGCTTGAAACACCCAGCCAATAGGAACTGACCCCAGCCAATCTCTCAGCACCTATTGGCTGGGAACAGCCAGTCAGTAGGAGCTGAGATATTGGCCTAAGGGATAGGGACAGTGAAAATCGTTCCCCTCTCGCAGAGCTGAGCGCCACAGGGAGGGAAGAGCCTGCAGTTTGAAGCAGTCTGGGGCTGCAGCAGACAGGGAACTCAGCCTGCCTTGGGGGTGCTGCAGGGCTGCTGGCCAGGAGACACTTAGGTAAGTGCCTCCCATCCAGAGCCTGTGTTTGGAACCCCAGCCCCTCCTTCAACCCAACTCCCTCCCTCAGGTCACCATCCAAACCCTCTGCACCCCCGTGCCCCAGGTCCGAACACTCTCCTGTACCCCCCGCTATACCCTTCACCTAGGCCAGAACCCTCTCCTGAACCCAGACGCGCCCCCCCCCCGGCCATGCACCCCATTTCCGTGCCCCAGGTCACCTCCCAAACCCTGTGCAGTCTGTACCCCCCTTCCCTTTCTCCCAGGTCACAATTCCCTCCCAGACTTTGCACCTCCTCCCAGAGCCCCTTCCCCAGGCCAGAATCCTCTCCTGCACCCATACTCCCTCCCTGACCCTACACCCCAATCCCTGACCCAGGTCACAACCCCTCCTTTACCCAAATTCCCTCTCAGACCTCACACTATTTCCTGCACCCCAGTCCCTTACCCCATGCACTCTTCTGCACCCAACCTCCATCCTAGACCCCGCATCTCCTCCACAGAAAATCTTGGAATGGTCCTCCCACCAAAAGTTATTGCCCACCCCTTGGCTAATGCCTACCGTGTTGGACACCACAGCTTTATTTTATGTATGTGAGTCCTCAAATTGATCTGGTATTCCCAAACATCTGTGAGTTCATCAGAAAGTTACAGTAACTGCAGCTTGTTTCTGTGCCAGCAAGAACTGGCATTTTTAAGAAGTGAGAGGGGAGTTAAACTTTGGAATGGTATCAGGAACTTCCATCATAGTTGATATCTGTGCTGCCCAAATGAGCAGTGGGATAGAAGGCTGTTCAGCCCGTCTTTATTTTGCTTTGTGTTCATTTTTGCTTTAGGAATAAGCACACAGGATTGTTTTTAATTAGTTTACCAAGTTTGAGCTCAACAGCAGGATAAGACAAAAATTGACAGTGTATCTGATGAGAGACATTGTAAAACAGAGTGCCTCTTTAGGTTCCCCTAGCTTCAAAGCCCTGTGTATGTGTTGATCATGAATAAGGTCTTTGCATGCCGCTGCAGTAGGTGAGACAGCCTGTTTTATTAGCTTGCCAGTGGCGTAATCTTTATTAGAGAGTTGTTTTATCTTCTGGCAGCAGTTAACATTTGCTTTAGCTCTTGTCCCTGTTGCACACTTGTTTGCTGGCTCTTCTCATGCTCCCTCTCACTAATGTGAATGCCTTTACCAATGAGAACTGTTTTTTCTCTTTATTTTGTTCTCACTCAGGAGCCCCAAACTACAGTAATCCACAATCCTGATGGAAATAAGGTATTCTGAAAGAATCAGCTCCATTTTGCTTCTGCAAAGCTCACGTGTCATCCACTATTCTGAGCCAGAATGTGCTCATTACCCAGAACTTAGCTAGGAAAATGTCATTTCTGGAGCTGTTGTGCCTGGTGCCTCTTGGGCCTTATACATCTGTGGCTTGTTCCCACTGAATCCTTCCTGCCTAGCTGCTGGCTCCCTCAAACTCTATGGATATCTGTAGGAGATGAGGGTTCTCAGAAGCTTGAGAAACCAGATCCATGGTGTGTTCTATATCTCTATTAATCTCTTACTTCAGGTGGGAACTTTCAGTTGTCACAAAAACATAGGAATGTTGTGTACAGATATAGTAGAGAAGGGCTATTTTTAAGACTTTTGTATGAAATTTTTCACTAGAGAGAAAAGCATATCTTGAGTTTTCCATCTGCTATTTCTCAGCATGCTCATGCATCATACTGTGACATGTCTTCTGCATGGGACTTCTTCCACAACGTCATCCTGCAGCTTTGATAGAAATTAACATTTGAAGTGGCAAGAAGCTCTTTGGAATTCATAAATCTTGATTTGATACATTTTTCACATTGATTTTCTTTTTTCAGTGTGCTGTGATTGTGTTTGGGTGTACGTTCTATCTATGGACAGTTTTTCCCCCTGCATGGACTTGAAAAGGGCTAGGGAGTATTGTTTGTGATTCATGGTCCTAGTTTTCATATGCAGATTTCATTTAAACATACTTTAATATGTATGCTGGGGATGTAAAGTCCCAAAAGGATTGTTGTCATATATATCTAGTGTAATAACTTGTCACTGAATGCTGTATTTGTAAAGGATTATGTCTGGAGTGGAAAAAAATCACATATAGGCATTTCACAAGCATGAAAAAGTGTTAACTGTGCATATGGTTGTCATATCTCCTCTTAGTTGGATTATTTATTTTATAGTTTGTGGATATCAAAAATTTGTGATGCTTATTTCACTACTGTACCAGCTATTTTCTACGCACATGATCCATATTTCATCAGCCATGTTTTATTAATAGGCAGGTTACAGCCAGAATTTTCATTTTAGTCAACGGCTTACTAAAACCCAGCAAAGGGAAACAAAAAAACAAAATACTGGAGCTCTTTGGCATGACTACATCTACTTGACTTTATTATATGAATCACAATTTAGATCTTTTATGTTCCAACAAGTCATAACATGAACAAGAAAACCACTTATAGGGAAAGTTACTGTTAAATTTCATTACCTGCAAAAACAAATATTTTAGCATGACAGCTGGAGTGGATGCTTCCACATTACTGGCCACATCTCTCGTGTGAGCTTGTGCATGATGTTTCCTGCTTGTATGTGTGTGGTTTTTATTTTTTTTAGGTACTATATATGATAGAGCATGGTATGTCCATTGTATGGATTGAAGAGTCTAACATCATTCACAATAGGCAAAGCATGATGGTTTAGCTTGGTTTGTATGTATGGATTTATTAGTATAGTTTGTTTATCGATGTATAAAATTTTGTTCTTTGACATCTGAATAATGCATTAACCATTCTCAAAGTTTTCTTCGACTTGTCATTGTGAAAGCATAGTAAACAAAGGGACACTGTCAGGATATTATGAAACATTTGTTTAATTTAGTAAACTTGAAACAAATCTTTGTTTAATTGGAAGCTTGAAACAAATCTTATTTTTCCCCTTCTGTGTCAGAAGCAAACTGGCTTATTAAAGATATTTTTACTTTAGTATTTTGCTGATAATATTTTATTTTTTATGTGCAGCAAAGCATTTATTTTAAAAAAAATCATAAAGAATAGATCTTCTGCAAGTAAATTTTGGAGAAAAAGGATAGGCGAGAAGTTTTGCCTACTAGCTTTCACAGTGTCCTTTTAAGTGTGCTCACGAATCTTTCATATATCTTCATATCTTATAGAAATTGTGATAAGTAGTCTTGTCTTTTAACATTGCAAAGATTCCAAATACAACTGTCTGATGGACAAGTCATTCCTCTGTGTGGCTGGCTGGTTAAAGAATATTTACAAAGATACCTTAGATTGTCTGGGAGCATTGTTGTGGACCTCTCTAGTAGTCTACTCTCTCCTTCAAAATTTTTATCACAACGAGAGTATAAAAATGCAATCACGGATGTGATCCAGTTCTTATTGAAATCAGTTGGAGCCTGTTTATTTTATCTGGTCTATATGAGCAGAGGAATTACTGTAAATTGTGAAATGCAACATTCTGCTTACTTTATATGTAAAAGCTCAAATGGAATGACTTATTTATACAGTTGATATTCATGAAGCTTAAAATGTCAAGTTCTAATATTTGGCTGACGTAATTCATATAACAGTTCAGACATACTCTATCTAGTAGCATATAAAAAGAAAGTTAACTCAATTCATGAAGATTTTTTTATATTTCCCATATATCCATGTGATGATCAAAAACTGGGCAGCCATAAATGTGTTTAATAAAAATGTTCTATTTTGAAATGGATGAAGATTATTGACATTAGGTTTCAGATATAATCATCTTAATCTGTGTGGCCATTTGTTTGTGAATTACATCCACATAGCCTGCTTGGAGGCTCTGCATGATCTGCACAATACTAAGTACAATTTTCATAGGTGCATGAATAATATTCCTAGGTCATTTTATGCATTTGACTTGTATTTACTTCTCAACAGGAGTCAACAGAAAGTTCCAATACAACTATTGAAGATGAAGATGTGAAAGGTATGATTAAGAGTTGGAAAGGTAAAATCATGGTTACAAATATATGATTCAGTAGGTTTTATTAACTTCTGTTAATCTGTTAGATGAAGGGAGCTCCTAAGGAGAACATACTATTACTTTTGAAAATCATGTTCATTACAGAAGTTCTGTATATTTAGTTCTACCTAACTTTTACTGGTACCATCTCTGTAGCATTTTGGAATTAAGTAAGTTTGTTATTTAAAATGATCGTTATGGCAGACTTAAAAACTAATAAAACAACAAGTGGTCTGGTAGCACTTTATAGATTATCAAAACAGGTAGATGCTATTATGAGTGTTTGTGGGCACAGCCCACTTTTTCAGATGACCAAGTTTTGAGTTTAGGATGTGCCAGTCCCAAAATAAATAGGAGAGAAGGGGGGGAGGAAGAAAAGGAGGAGAGTGAGAGACAGGGAGCAGAGGGTATAGAAAATCAGGAAGATAGAGGGGTCTGAACTCCACTTGTTATTACCTATAGTCCACAACTCAGACCCCTCCAGCACATTATACACAATCTACAACCCGTCTTGGAAAATGATCCCTCACTTTCTGAGGCCTAGAGAGAAAAGCCTGTTCTCACTTAGACAACCTCCCATCCTGAAACGAATTATTTCCAGGATCCATGCCACACAACCACATCATAAGCATCCAGGAACCCAGCCCTGCAACCAAACGCGATGCCAACTCTGCCCAAATATCTATATTAGCGAATTCATCACTGGAGCCAACAACATAAGCTACCAAATCAACAGGTCATTTGACTGCACATCCAGTAATTTGATTTATGCCATCAAATGCCAGCAATGCCCCACTGTTATATATATTGGACAAACTGGACATTCTCTGCGGGAAAGAATCAATGGACACAAATCAGATATACGTAAGGGGAACATGCAGAAACCTGTTGGGGAACACTTTAATCTTCCTAATCACAGTTTAAAAGATCTTCAAGTGGCTGTCTTGTCACAAACCAACTCTACTGCCCAGATACACAGAGAAGCATTGGAACTAGAGTGCATCCGTAAATTCAATTCTCATGCTAATGGACTCAATCGTGATGAAGGATGGTTGGGACACTATCAACCTAACAGTCAATTCTTATCTGCTTCGTTTTAACTACCCAATCTTCAGATGCTTACTGATTCCCTCTACCTTCTTGATTTTCTATACCCACTGCTCCCTGTCTCCCACCCCCCACCTTCTCTCCTATTTATTTTGGGTCTGCACATCCTAAACTCTAAACTCCAGTCATCTGGAGAAGTGGGCTGTGCCCAGGAAAGCTCAGGACACCATCTACATGTTTGGTTAACCTATAAAGTGCTACTAGACCATTTGTTGTTGTTTTTCCTGTACAGACTAACTCAGCTAACCCCGGAAGCTTAAAAACCAATGACATTTAATATTTTATTTCATTTTGTATATGATATTTGGGTATTTTTAATTTTTGCGTTCACTTGTTTTAATTTATGTTTAGTAATTTATGCATTTTTTCAGATCCGCATTTATAAAAAAAATTCTGTTCAGATGCCAGTGTTGTTTGGGATTCTTTGGTATTCTGGCCCTATAATTGTCTTAACCTTAGTCTTTATTTCTTTTCAATTTTCTGCACAATTAGCTTTTTAACTTTGCAGTTGTGGGTGGTAGGGTAGAGGGTTTTTTAACTCTACATTTTCATTCTTATTTTAATAACATTTTGTTTAAAACCAGCGTGTTCAGCTTATGTATTATATGTTTCATACAAGACACTGGCTTTTAGCTTTAAGTACATTTTAGTTATTGTAGATAAGGAATAAGAGGGACGTGTTGAAAAATGGGAGGGGGAATTGGTAAAAAAGAGATTTCTCAGTTAATTAACCAATACAGTGTTGGTTTTGTTTTGCACTGTATTATACTATAAGCGTTATGCCTGTGCGTGTCATTGTTAGTGTTTATTAGCTGAAATATGCATTAAAATATGCTGGAATTTTTAGTAACTTTAAGACTGAGAGAACATTTTAGAAGAGTGCAGGACTAGACAGGGTCAACCTGCACCATGCCCATTAAGTAAGGGGAAACATAAACATAAGTTGTCTGTCCATTTTAACCTAGGGAAAATTTCCTGCACTACCCAAATGGTACTGATTAAGTAACTTTCTTTCCTTTCTTGTGTGCTTTGAGCAATGAGTTACTTAGTAGTGTTGATGTTTAAAGTATCATTGGCTTTAGTCCCCACTGAAAGGAAAGAGGCAGTTTACTCTACAGGCTCTCTACAAATGCAGGGACAATTCGTTAAGCTCACCTTCCTGTACTGAAGATTTTCTGTGCAACTGTAATAGCTAGACATATTTTTTCCCCCAATGAAAATTGAGCCTCCGGAGAAAAATGGAAGGACTGTCTGCTGCCTACCTTCCTAACTAAGCCTTCATTCCCTTCTCTCCTCTTCCAGAGGAGTGTGCTCCACTTTTTGGGAAAGGCTGTTTTATGTGGTTTCAAAAATGTACCTTAAATGTAATTGGAACTATCCAGCATTCACTGCTACCTGATTGTATTTGACTGGACTCAATAAGTTACCACCCACTATGCAAAGCAGATGGAACTATCCAAGATTAAGGATGCTTCTTGGCCCACTATTTGGAACTTCCTGTTTACTTCTCCTTCCTATCACCCACACTCCATTCACTCAATACAGCATTCCAGAATTTCCAAATATATCCCAAGCAACGTGTGGGGTGCTGTTATGCAACTTCCCCTCTTAAGTTCCATGAAATATTTGACACATACCTGATGACTATAAGGTATTTTAGCTCCCACAAGATCATGTGACTATACCAGCTTATACCAGCCCACTTCTCCCACAAGTATTATTGAAAGCCTCCTCAGACAGGTCTAATTAATAAATGGACAGTGAAGCAATCAGACCTTTATTTAATTTTTCCTTTTAGTTAAGTGTAAAAGGTTGTCAGAAAAATACTCGGCATACTGTGCCATCACACAGCACAATCCCATTAATAATAGTATTTTGTTTGTGGAAATTGAGTGAGAGAATAATGGGGAAACTATTTTTAAACAGTCAAAATCAGTCATTAGATTAGAGATTCACAATTTAATATCTATACATAACGTTGTACAAATTCAAAACTGAGCTAGTTTGCAAGTTTTCATCCACACTATTTATGTATCTAAATGTTTCATATTCTTTGCTTTGAAAGAGATTTATGCACATTTCTCTGAAAAATACTTGTTAGTTCCAAGAAACCGTACATTGCTTTTTTTCCCAAAAAGCATGAGATAGTGGAAGAGTGAGATCTAAAAGCTCGTGGAATTTAATTGAAATTTAATTAATGAAATTGCATTTTGGGAAGCATTGTTGTTTACAGGAATGTAATTGGGGTTTTTGTGTTTTGATGCACAGTAGACTAGTGGTGCAGTTCCCTTGATTCCCCCGATCAAATGATTAATACATTGGTAAAATATTTAGAACACTGTGGCAATGTAAATGCTTGCAACATTTCCTGTAGGTTCTTAGGGTCCATTTATTGTAGTCATTCATTATGTAAATGAGCATTGAGAGAGGTTTAGGATTGTAAACCTTTCAGAGTAGGGATTTTCTATGCTGTTGTACAGCAGTCAGCACAGTAGGGCTCCAATCCCAATTGGAGCTTTTGGATGCTTCTATAGTATAAATATTTGCTCTTACTATGGAGTGAGTGGGAAGGGGGAAAATAAACTAGCTGGAGTTTAAACACAGATGCTGTGGAATCTCAAAATCGTATTCATTCTGTTAGTTCCTCTGAACATGCTGACACTTGAAGAGACCTTTTCAGACTAAAACTGTGTTCATTAAAATGCAGTTCATTTTGCTCTTTGCTTGTGATCAGTACTTCATCTACTTTCATTTTGCTATGCAGTATTCATGGGGATGTCACAAGACAGTAGTAGACTTGTCCCCCAGGAGGCCTGAATAATACTCATGTGAGTTCCTGCTTCACCTAGGCCCAAAAGCTTGCTGCTCAGGTTCCTTAATTGATGATTCCAGGACAACTGCATCCCAAAAATCTGGCACATGGCAAATGTAATAGCCATACCAAAACCAGGAAAACGGCTGAAAGATTTTTAGCGCTATCAAGCGCTCTCTCTCCATTGTTACATACAAGCTTATGATTGAGACGTCGTTATCAATTGCCCTTTGTTCAGGCTGACTTCAGACAAGGAACATGTGAGGCAATCCTTTAGACCAGGGCTGTTCACTCAGCTACAAAGACTCAACCCTCTAGCAGAGTCTTCAGTGACTCATCTCAAAGGCCTGCTGCAATTCAACTACACTGACTCATCCCTCAAAACAGAGCCTGCAGTGACTCATCACACAGGCAGGACACAGCTGCCAATCTTTGAGCGGGGCCTTAGTCAAATTACCCCCCAGGCACAGGTATTTCGCTCTGACTGCGAATTAATCTGAGCTAGAAACTCTCCTGCTGCCTCAGTGTTACAGGCACCCTAAAGTTTGAGTTATCTTTAATCCTATCCATGTTTCTGCTCCAGCCTTGCCCAGTCTTGTTCCAGCCCACTTCAGACAATTCTAACATTGTTCCAGCCATGTTTGTGATCTTTTCCAGCCCCACATCTGTCTTCTCACTCCTAGACAGTTGGACTGACTCCAGCCCTACTTCGGCTAGCATCTGGATTCTAACTATAATCCCCATTGTTATCCATGGCTTATCCCCAGATTTTGGTTTAAGAACTGCCTTCAGCCCAGTCCCGACTCCGCATCCAGTTGTGACTCTTCGTACCCGCTCTTGACTACCAGACCTGTCTAAAACCAGATATGGGGTTTTTCACATAGCTAATTTTTAAAGTACAATGAGATTTAAAAAATGCAGATGACTCAATACTTAGCTGTACCAGTAAATGGAATCTTTCGAGTTTTGTTGGAATGAGCCTCTCACTTGTCATGGAGGGATAGAATTAATTAAAACCAGGGCAGATGTCCTAGAATTTCACTGAATTGTTGCTCACTTTGACTCT